GACTTGAATTGATAGATTTGTATCTCTTTCTATCTTCCTGATTTCTCAATATGCTTCACATTGAAAGGAAAGATTTACGAATTCTCATCATCATCATCATCATTATAATCTCCTGGTCAAACCGATTTGCTGACCATTACTCATCCATTGGTCTCTCACTCCATCATCTCAAAGTCAAATCCTCTTCATCTTTTATGTTTATGCATTAATAATACATCATTATGATGATGTTCATCATCTTCTTCAGATACCATCATCATATTAAATGCAAAAGAGAAAAAATTGAAATCATCTTCATCTTCTAATCATCATAATTACTATTCCCATGTTTCTATTTATTCATCATTTTTCATGATCCAACGAGAAGATGAGAATAAATATTTTTCTATTTACTTTATATTCTTGAACAATTTCAAAAATCATGCAAATCTTTACATGTAAACTTATCAGTTTATCACTTACCTTGAACTTTACATTTGATCACCATCTTCATGATGATCATCATGTTTATCGTTATGTGCTGATGATACTTACAGAAAGCCCATGAATATTAACTTAACTTTGAATTTTCAAGTTTATGCTTAGATTTTTGTTCTGAAATTTTTTTTCCTTCATGCTACACTGAAGATTATCCTCTTCATCATCATCATCATCACTATTCATCATTTTTTCCCCATGATTCTTGAAACATCACTCATGTTTACATGAACAGAAGAGGAGGAAAAAGTAGAAGAGTAAAAAAAATGATCTCCATCATGAAAATTCAATATTAATACATTGAAACGTTTCCTTCAAACCATTTTGACACTTCCATGTTTACTCAGCCTCCATTATCACCCACCACCATCATTGGCCACCCTGTGCAATACAATTTACACCCTTGATCATGATGGTAAATGATTTAGATGAAAAAAATTCATATTCCAAAATCCGATAAGTTGAAACTCTGAAAAAGGAGGAAAAAGTTTAAGATTAAGAAATTTTTCTCAATAACTTTCAAGATTAACTTTTAAATTACAACAATTAAAGGAGCTTATTTAAGTCTCTTAATAGTTTAATTACTTTGCTTAAGTAATTGCTAGTTGATTGTTGCAATTAATGACTAAATAATAGGCTTAGATTTTTACACAGAATTGCAAATTAATTACAATCAAGTGAGAGAAACGATTTTCTGATATTTTTTTTTACTTTTTCTTCAGCTTGTAATCAAATTTATCTCTTTATATTATTATCACCGTAACAATCAATATATTAATTGTTTCACTTTGATTGTTAATGTATCAGGAAATTGTTACGATTGTGATTTATAATCATGAAGAAAATATTTGATTCAATGTTTATCTTTAATCATTATCATGAAATGTTTATTGTTATGTTGATGGTGATTTTCAGAAGTGAATTGTAGATAATTGAATAACTGAACAATTTAGTTATTGAATATGAACTCATATCATCCATAGATCCATGATGAGAAATATAATCATACCAGAAAAAGTAATAACAACGATAATGTTGTTTCATTTCAATTGAATCATCACCATGATCGTGAATCAGAATCATTATGAATCAGAAGAAAGTTCATTTAGAGTAACTTCCGTTCAGAGTGAGAGATAAAAAGATTTGAGAAGTTGCTTAAAAGATGAAACAAAAATGTTCCAATTCAATGTTCATCTGAATTCATGGAAAATCAGAAAAGACTGACCACTGACCAGGATGAGGAATATCAATAAGAATCTCAATCTATTAAGTGGAAAAGAAAAAAAAAAGTTCTGAAATCATTTGAATAATCAACATGGTAGCTTTTCGGAATTCCATCAGAATATTACATGAAATGTTTACGAATTTGTTGAATTTTCCTCTGCCCCATTTCCGAATCAATATTTCAATCTTTAATTCAGTTGACAGTTTGGTGGAAACGGAAATGGAAAATAATTTGCAAGAAAACATTGAAATAATTGAGAGATGATACAAAATATTGTAAATCAGATGAAATCGACTAAGTATCCAAACACTAACCATGTTAATCGAGATTGAGAAAACTATTAAAGCTTTTTATTATTAGTTTTCGTCGACATTAGGTCAACTTGACCAACATGAATCTCTGGATGTCCACTTGCAATGGTCAAGGGGTAAAAGGCTAACAAGTGACTGGTCAGTTAACATAATAATAATAGTCCAATAGTAACGTAATCATCATATCACCAATAATAAATTACTTGTGGTGCTGAAACTTTATTAACCACTTATACACTGGAAGAAATCAAATTAACTTAAACAATATAATAATCACAGGCTGATGATGATAACAATCAACGATAAATAATAATCACAGTTAACGATTATTGTTATTATCATTTCACTTTTCCTTATATTATATTGGATTGGATTCCCTGTTAATATTGAAATAGATTCATGATAATATTTATCAAACAACGAGATAAACAAATCTATCTTTGATTATCATCTAGATGATTAAATCACTTGAAAGTTTTATATATATAAAAATTATCACATGAAAATTACCGGATGATAATCAAGTTAAATTATAAATAACCTTTCAGAATTGAGTGAGATAAAGTTCTGGAGAGATGATTAAATTGAGAGATTAGTGATTAGACTGATAATGATCATCTTAAGATTATCAAATGAGATTAAATTTTCATGCAATTTGTTTTGTTCCCTGAGCTAATCTATCATAATGATTTACTGATTGTTGAATAATTGATAACAATCATTTCAAATATTCAGGTAATCTAAGTGACTCTTTGATTATCTGTTGATGATTACCTTCAATGAATTCATCTTAAAAGGTTACCTGGTCTCTTATTATTATGTTTATACAAAATTTATGAAATCACAATTTAACTGGTCAGTAGATTATCATGAAAACTGACCATCATCATCAAGATAATTATCAATATTTAATATCAAATTGATAAGAATGAAACAATCAAAAGTAAATGAAAAACATCAACAGTATAATGATAATGATGACCATAGGATGACCAATGGTCATGTCCATCTAGTTATTGCATAAATAATAATATCATCATCATGATCATCTTTAGGTTTAGAGGTTGATTTGATTCGGGAATAAAGTGAATGTCCAGTTATAAATATATGTTGACCATTAAAGCCTTCATCCCATGAGCATGATGACCAAGAATAGTTTCATCATCAGAGAAGATGAAAAAAAAATTTTCTCTCTCGCTTTTTTTTATCTTCCTCATCATCTTAGTTTCCAACATAAATAAATAACTTTTCCTCATGGTAACTCAACTCAATTGAGACCAATAATAATACATAATGTATATCAACTGATTATTGTATCATCATCATCATTATGATTACTATTATATAATTGATAATGATGATGATGATCAACAAAAGGTATGATCAGTTAATTGTCATATGTAATAATAATAATAATCTTATCATGTTTGATTGTTGTTATTAACCAATTTATCCTTCACTAAATAACATTAACCATTCATGGGTTAAGCTAATCATCATCAGTACAGTTGAGTGATAATCAGTTGATCATGATTAGTATATTGTTGATTATACAATTTATAAATCATACCAACAACAACAACAACAACAACATTATCATTAACAGTAATCAAGTAAAACCATGATAATGATATTGATCATTAATTATTTAACATTAGTTACTCTTGTTAATCAATGATTAAAAACAATTAATTCAAACAGTAGCACAATTAAAAGGTTACACAGTTATAACATTTGATTTTGATTACAACCATTTAAATTACGATTTCAGTTGAAAGTTATAATAATACTAGAACAACAATCAAATTAGATTTGTTAACAATTAGTTTTCTCTTACTGGTGATTTACTAATCATTAAATTAAGTTGTAATTAAGTTATGAAAGTGATTGGATAATAAATAGAGAGACAAAATCAAACTGATTATGATTGTAATGACAATTTATCATTAATGTACAGAGGATAAACAGTATTACCGTTAATTTTGTTTTCCACCGGCGTAAATTGTTACATTAAAATCTCATCATGATCATCATTAAAGCCTCGATTTCAAGCTATTATTATATAACTTTATCATCTTCATCATCCAAGATGAATGTCTTTTTAATTACCATTTGGCTTCGTCACCAAGATGATATATTTTTTTCTCCTCTTCCTCATCACATCAACCATATACACCTTATATACACCAAGAGCTGGATGCTATGGATTATTATATTGTTGTTATCCCATCAAAATCATCTTTATCCTTTTCCTCATCACTACCCCACCCACTCACCCTCCTCATCCTCATCCTCATCCTCATCACACTTTCATCATCTAATGTGTTATTAATATAACACTTAATGTCCATTCCCAATGTTACTGTTGTTGTTTTTGTTTCCCTTCATCATCATCACCAAAATGATTAATCAATCCAATATCCATAATATATATATCGTAACTGTCAATACAATTTGATTGTTTTGCTGCTTAATTGTTGTACTTGATTTCTATTAATGGGAAACAATTAAATTTCCCAGCTAATGGTTTCTAATTTGTAATTGAAGCAAAAAGAAAAGTTTTCATCATTTATATCAGTTGAATCTGATAACTTTTGATTATTGTGTACAGTTAATTACAATTAAATTGCTACACAAGGTTTAACAATTTAACTATTAAACAGTTTTATCCTTGAAAAGGTAAACTAATTATTGATCTTCATTGTAATCAATTAATTTGCACACAATTGATGTTGATGTTTATAAAGAAAAGTCTATTGGTCAAGAATCGAACAGTCCAAATTTAGAATGAAACTTTGACATTAATCTTTTTCTTTTTTTCTTTCTTTTCTTTCTTTTTTTTCATGATAATGGGAAATAAAATGATCACATTCAACTGTAATCGCTGAATTAATCCATGAATACCATGAAACTTTTGATTGGTTTGGTCTTTTTGGACTCATTTAAATTGGATTTTGCTTGTAAATTGCCATTCATTGATTATCTAGATGAACCTCCAACTATTAGGGAAAAATTTTACTCTCAAAGTTTAAATCCAGGATTACCTGTAAGCCTGAAATGCTCAGCAACCGGAAGTCCACTGCCTAAAATAAGATGGTACCACTATGCTAAGCCGTTGTCCCATACATCGTATCGAAACAAGAAACGAGTCTCTCATTATGAGAATGGATCAGATTTAATAATCTCTTGGCTTAATGTCACCTCAATTGACCCCGAAGACGGTGGACTTTACACTTGTGAGGCGTTTAATGAGATCGGTTTGGCTCGTTCATCGGCCTCCATCCAGGTAACTGGTCCACCTTTCGTCCACCCGATGGACAATATAACCCTTGGAACACAGGAAACTCTGGCCATCCACTGTCCATACAGCGGTTATCCAATTGAAACGATAACATGGACCAAAGGTTAATATAAACTCGATAACAAAAAGACCAATATCAAATGTCCAACTCCCTTATTTACCAATCATCCACTTTGGAAGATAATAATTTGTCAGAACTTTTTTTTCTTCTTTTCTTTTTTCTTCTATTTTCATGTCAATTTTTTTTCACCCACAATTTTGACAGAACTTTTTGTCAAAATTCTGTTCTCTTCTGTCAGAATTTTTCAATTTTTCTTTTTTCATTGTTTCAACTTTTTCTTTTTCCAAAAACCAAATTGTCAACTATTCAATTCCATTACCATATATATAAGTTGAAAATAGTATTACCATTATAATCGCCCGAGGGTATATTTCATCATCCAACCTCTTTTACCTTCCAATTTGGTGTCTCTGTGTTTTTTTTTCACTATCTTTACACACCAAGAGTACTTGAGGATGATAAAAGCCAAACTTAATATCCATCATCATCATCTTTCATTCAATATCATCCATGAAAGTGAATACAATTTTCTGTATCCATTATTTTCCCATGTAAATTCAATTTCTTTTTTCATTTCTATCCTATTCCACCAAGATATTACCTAGATAATAATGTTACATGATTCTGACTCATGTATTCCGATATATTCATGTTTACCCTTTCAGATTTCTCATTTTATTAGCATTCAGTTTTACTCCATGTTCATCCTAACATAATATCATTCATATTCAATAATCATTTCCAGTTCCAATTTTTGATTCTTTTCCTAAGATACACTTTTAATTCATCAGGTTTACCTTGATTATTGTTTACCTTTTGATTGATTCATCAAATAGTTGATAGATTTGTTATTTGAATCTAGTTGATTTGATTTTAATTGTTGAGCAGAGCTATGAGATATTCAACTTATCGTTATTTTGATGATTAGCTGCTAATCTGAGGTGAAAGTTATATTGATTAATATTAGATTTACATTGTTGATAATATTTGATTACAATCAACATGGTGATAAATGTTATGTTGATGCTATTTATTTTCTAATAAAATTCTGATATTCTCATGAAATTGTTGTTTCATTCAGGATTTTGCTGGGTTCATGATGATTTCTGTGTAACTGTAACGTTCCAAGTTTTTGACCATTAATTGAATGATTAATGATCACAATCAAAATGAACTTAATGATAATATTGACTCTGATTCCATAATCATTTATCTTGATATTTTTCTCTCTCTCTCTCATTTTTTTCCATATCGATTAATTCAGAAGGACGTGATTTCGTTGCATCTCGAGGTGTTAAAAGTCATCCTAATGGTACGTTGACACTTGTTGATGCTCATCCGGAAGACGAGGGTTGGTTCAAATGTGAAGTTAAAAATAAAGAAGGTCAAACAGCGACCGGGTCACTTTACATTGACATTATCGGTAAGTTCATTTGCAAATCAGAAAATCGTTCAACTGGAACAATTCATGATAACATTGGAATCGATTATTATTATTATTCCTGCTACATGGTTCATGTTATATAAGTAAATCAAAATTGATTATCAACCGTTTTCACAGGTTTACATTATCATCATGATCATCATGATATATATCAGGAAAATAGATTCATAAGTTGAAAGTGAGAGAGTGGGAGTGAGAAAATAATCTGAAGATAAAGATGAAAATCGATCAATCATCAGTAGTAATGAGACCATGTTGATGACATTTATATCTCCACCTTTTCATTATTTAAGATTTACTCATGAAAAATTATGATTCCCATGAAAGTCAAGTCAGAATTTCACTTCATTCTTTTCTCCTATTCTGGATTCCATGTTGACATTCAGAATAATCCATCCGCTTCAGCCAGGGGAAAGATAATGTTTCTTTTTATCTCATCTGAACATTTGACTCATTATAATGAGAGAGAAAAAATTTCATCAATTAATTGTTTTTCTTTCTCTCTTTCTATCTTTATAGAAAAACCATCAATCAATCCGTTCATATTTGGTTCTGACCTTCGTGAGGGTATGAGAGCCACAGTAGTTTGCTCAATCGGCCTGGGCGAACCTCCGTTCAGAATAACCTGGCTTAAAGATAGCGTTCCAATCGATCATGGTAATCCTGATTTACGCATTGAAGCTTTGGGCGATTTCACCTCAAGCCTGAAAATAACCGACATCAGACGGAAACACAGCGGCAATTATACTTGTAAAGCGGCCTCAGCTCGAGCTCCAGATATATATTCAATTCATACGGCTCAGTTGATTGTCCAAGGTAAGTTCATATTCCTGGAAAAATGCAAAAAAACAGCAAATATAATATGTCATTTGTATGAACTTTATGAATTTCATGATAATAATACATGATGATGATGTTTATCATCATGATATTTGTTACCCTTGGTTTTTGTTTCACATTTAACTTGATTACTTAATGATAGCCACAAATATGATTAAAGGTGAATTGTAATGATAATGTAAATATTAAACACCATGTTGTTTATTCACCATGATACATGATGACAGTTTTGGTGTAAAATTTTCATCCACCATGAATATATTATCACCTGAACACTTTATGAATCCCAATGAATATGAAAAGGGAAACAAATTATCACATGAGATTGTTTTATATCAAATTCATTTCAATGGTAACATTAGATTTTTATTGATTCGGTAAACACAATCAATCGTTAATTAAGAAAGCAAACTAGTGTTTACAATCAAGTTGATTGTCCAAAATTTGCCCAAATCGAGATGAAAGTTTTGTTTACTTTCATCATAACTCAATGATCAGTGAAACAATTAACTTTTAAGGTTTAATATAAATCCTTGATGATTTATAACCAATTTTGGATTATCATTATTGTTTAACTTGATATTTGATTGTTTGACATAAATTTAGTCAATTGTTGTTAGTCAAACAATCAACAATTGATTGTATGTGTTAATCGTAAGTTATTTAACTTGTCACCATGATGATTATGATTTAAAGGATTGACTTAAGTTGATCAAGTTCAAGTTTGTCTTTCAATAAACAACAATTAAGTTACTTGTTCAGTTGATTGTGTCAGATTGTAAATTGTTAACCATCAAGTAGCTGATTAAATTGTTAACAGTAACAGTTAATCAAGATTATTAGAAATGTTCAGTTTAATTTTCATTCTAATCATTTGTTAATTTCTCAGGCTGATTAATTCATTTTAATGTTATCCCTTTTTTTTGTTAATTCAGATGAGAATTGAAACAAATTTATTATCATGATAAATTTAACTCGATTAACTCATGAATTTAGAATGATTAACATGAACAGAAATTAAGATTTGCTTTGAATTAAATTCTGAAAAAGAAAATTTCAACAATAATTCATATGAATTCAGTCTCAGTTGAATTAGAAAAAAACTTTTTATCACTTATCATGATAATTTCATCATGTTCAACAAATGAGTTGATGGTAATATTAGTTATCTTCCTCATCATGTAGATGATCAATGTTGAAATGAGAGAAGGCGAATTGAAAAAAATTCAACTACTGAACTTTTTTTTTCTTTTCGCCCTGAATACTTGATTCATTCAGTAGATTCTCATAGGAACTAAATCAAGTTATATTATAATTTCAGCGCTTCCAATGATAAAGTTGTTATTACTTGTTCTTGATGATCATCATGAGATAAAATGATTTGTTTGATGAATCATATTCTCAACCCCAGTTCTTGTAATTTATATTCATGATGAATTCATATTATCATCATGGTGAAAAAAAATCTTATTTGTTATCATCCAACAAGAACTGAGTTTCTGTTAAAGAGTCAATTTGATTGAATATTGTCAACGAGATTATAATTTAAAAAGAAACCAAACCAGATTAAGATCAAGATTGAAAAGGAAGATGATGATGATGATGATGATGATGATTAGGAAGATAAGTTTTTTTGAATATCAACAATGACATTTTGACGATAAAGATGATGATGAGTAGGATGATGTTCAATTTTTAGAATCCCTTTGAGGTTGAACAATATGTATAAATATATTCTGATGTATGAAACATGAAACGATAAATGATGAGAGAGAACAAAAAAAAAGTTCTGTCTGAATTAACATAACTACTGGTAAATGAGATGATAAATTTCATTTACCAAGTTGTTAATTTACTAGACACTTTTTTTGCTCTTCCTGTTAATCAAATCATAATCTGATTTGTATTAATATTTAATCACTGAGCAAGTTATTCACTTATTGTTCACTGATTAACATGATCGTTTCCAGAGTCTATCTTGTTATCAAACGTTTGATTTAATTCATCATCCGATTGTAATATTTGATTCAATTTCCATTCATATTCAATAGCTGCTCCCAAATGGATATTAAAACCTTTAGAAAGATATTCAACCATTCGTGGATCTAAAGTTCTGATGAATTGTCAAGCTGAAGGAATCCCACCGCCGGTTTATCAATGGAAAAAGGCTCGACGAAGTGAGTCATCAGCTTCCAATGAATTGATTGGAATCGTTAGTGGCCCTCATATCCATGTATTGGAAAATGGCTCCCTGGCAATCATTGATTCCTCCAAGCTTGATGAAGGTGATTACGTTTGTGAGGTGACCAATAATAAAGGTCCTTCTTTAACGTCCATATCACGGCTTGAAGTTCATGATCCAGTTCATTTCATCAAATCATACGAATTAATCAAAGTTGAAGCTGGACTTAAGGCTGAGATAATCTGTGATCCATTGGGTGATCAACCAATCGATATAAATTGGAATCGATTACCTTCACAATTACCACCAAATTTCAATAGCAATTCTGTAAACACTGCGAATGGACTCATGAGCTCAACCAGTGACGGTGGTGGTCGAGAGATGCTTAGTGGCTCCAATTCACATCACTCAGCATTCTTATTATCATCAAGATTCCAGATTAATCAAGATGTTAATGGTAACAGAGTTTTGTCACATGTAACCTTAGAATCTCCGTTAGTTGAAGATTCAGGGAGTTTCATGTGTACGGCGAGTAATTCATTTGGTAGAGCGGAAAAAACGATCCATCTAATTGTCCAAGGTTCACCTCGATCTCCTCGTAATTTACGTTCCGTTGAAGTGGCGAGTCGCGATGTGACCATTGCCTGGGAAGCTCCTGATGATGGTAACAGTCCAATTCTTGATTATCTAATACAATATACATATAATAATGGTGAGTTTCAGTCAAGTTCATTTTCTCATCCTCATCATAATCATTATCTTCCTCTTGTTCTTGTTCATCATTCTCCTCATCTTTCTCTCCATGTTACCTTGAACATTTCTTTTCTTTCTTACAATCTATCATCATGAAAGTCATTCTTTGTTCTGACCCCTCCATTTCTCTCTCTTCTTATTCTTTCATCATCATAATATAACAACAATATCATCATCATTATCATCATCTTTCTCTGGCTATTATATTTAACATCATTTACTTTCTTTATTCCAGTTTCTTCCATAACAATAAGCTAAAAATTTTTCGTTTTTTCTTCTCTCTTTTTGATTCTTTTTCTTATTTTCATCTGTATTCCCTTGTTATCCCTTCTCCCTTTTTATCATTATCATCATCATCATCCTCTCATCAGTCCCTATGGTAAAAAGATGAAAATACTCTCTCTCTCTCTTTCTATGCTCTGTTTGTTTTCGAAAGAAAGAAAAGAAAGAGAAAGATGTAACTCGAACAAGAATTTCTATTCTTTTCTTTCAAGATACAGTTTACACTCTATTTGTTTCCCATTTTCTTACATGTTATCTAATAATCTGAACAATATTTACCATGAAAAGATCATCAAAAGAAACAATTTCATTCTTATGATTACAATCAATTCCAAATAGTATAATCATCGTCAAGATTAAGTCACATAAAATGCTGTCCATCAAACAAAAACATGAATATTGATATTGATATAACATTATGAATGAGTTTACCTGATTATTATAATAATAATAATAATAGTAATTAGGGTAACCAAATCATTTCTCATCCCAAGTCTTTACTGGATTAATTATATCTGTAATAGTGTTAATTTGATGATCTTCTTAAATCATAATTCAATGGATAAACTTAAGATTAATCTATTCTGACAGAATTATGTTAATAATTATAAATACTTGGTGTAAATGTATATTGAATACTCAATAATATGAATATCTCTTGATGAGGATAATGATGATAAAGTTTTTATGTTGATTAATGATGATATACTAATTTTAATTATAAACATGATTCCCTCGTTACCTTTACTATCAACAAGAGAATGAAGAAAAAAATGATTATTAAACTCACAAAATTCATTAATCACTTGATGATTATCATCTCATTTACTTTTTTTTCTGTCTCCATTGGTGACGATTATTATCATTAAAGGTATTTGGACCAATTCGTTTGAGACAACATCGGTTAATCCTAAAGAATGTACCGCCTTGATAACTGGCCTTTTACCAGAGACAATTTATCGAATTCGAGTTCTAGCTCAGAATACTTTCGGTCGGAGTGATCCATCAGATGAAATAACTGTAAAAACAGAAGAAGAAGGTAATAATTAAAGAATCGAAATGAAATGAATGAGAAAATTATCTTACTAACAATTCGTTGGGAAACTAAAATAATATTTTGATGATTGGATAATTGTTCTAATAGCACCAGGAGAGGCTCCAAATAATGTGAGAATTGAATCGATTAGTTCACAATCACTGAAGATCATTTGGAATAATATTGGACGAACCAAGAAGATTGAAGGTTATCATGTTGGCTATCGTCAGGTTCATGGTTATAATTCAATGAGTGATACATTTAACTTTAAATCGATGAGTTTAAATGATACACTTAGACAATTAGATGAATTGTCCTATCAACTAACTGATTTAAAGAGAAACACCAAATATGGACTAATAATCAGACCTTATAATAAGAAAGGTCCGGGAATCACATCGGAGGAAATTTACACTCAAACTCTTGAATTTGGTGAGTGTCTAAATTTGTCCATCAGTTAATCATTAATCTGGAAATCGATAGTTAATTTATCCATGATGGTCAATCAAACAATAAAAAGATCACTTCACATATCATGTTGACAAGGTTATTCTTCACTGTCCTTTGGTAAATGATTATTGTTTTTCCAATGGTCTTTCTCATTAGATTGATTATTGAGAACATTTTTCCTTTTCTATTGCTTCAACTTTCTCAGAATGGTACAGAGATCTGATTGATTTCCTTTTCCTGTTTGTTTTTTTTATCCATTGGTCATCACAATAGTCAAATTCTAGAAAGGAAAAGAAATGATCAAATTGATTACTGTCAGAAGTGGACAAAGGTATTGACATAGAGGAAAATGAAATTAATTTACTTTAGGCAAATAGGATAGAGACAATTAAGTTGGTATATTTGTACGTACATCCAATCAATTTTATCGTTTCTTTTTTCAATTGTAATTATCTCTCCATCCAACATCATGAATGATTGACTTTATCCGGTGATGATTAAACTCCTAATCTCAACAATTGACGATAATGAGGAAGAAAAAAAAACACACCAAGGAAACACTGGACAATCAAGATATTATGTAACTCTTTTGATTGATGTTGATAGTTGGAAGATTTGATTTTTTTTCCTTCTTGTTGTTGTTGCTTCTTTAGGCCTCCAATTGATTGACAAAAGATTAACTCCAATTTTGACCATGACTTTGAATTGATTATCGTCTGAAAGATTAAACAAAAGATAGATAATCAGTTAACTTGTATTGGAATTAACAGTTGACACTTATACTAAATTCAATTAATGATTAATTGTGTTCACAGTTTAATGTTGGTTAGATGGTTTTTTCCTTTTACTCACTTGACTTTTTTTTTCTTCCTTCTCTTTGGTTTCCACTCCATGATTTAGATCCACCGGGTGAGATTAATGTAAGAGTTAACTTGGTCACCCATCGATCATTAACCATTGAAATTGTGGAACAAGATGAAATTAATCCAATCAGTGGTTATTTGGTTAATTACAAGACAAATTCGGACGATTGGGAAGAGATTAAAATCTTGGGACAGAGGAAAAATTTTCTTCTTGAAGATTTAAAATGTGGAACCAAATATACAATTTCAATCGTCGCGTTCAACAAAGCGGGTCCTTCGCACGATAATCAATTGGTCCATTCGTCGACTTCTGGTAATGGTAAGTAAACCATTTAATTCATTAAAGAAAAAAAAAATTACTCAAAACAGAAGAAGAGAAAAAGAAAACCAATCAAATCAAAAAAGAGAATAAAAAAATTTTCTTTTCTTTTTGTTGTCAAGGGGGTTGATCGGTTTTCTATATATAATTTAAATTATTTGTTTCTCTTTTTCTTTTATTTGATTTCTTTTCTTTAATTGGTTATAATTGAATTGTTTTTGATTGTTGTTGATTTTGTTTCACTTTAGTGCCTTCACCAGGATCATTGGAATCACTTCTAACTGTTAATTCAACGTCCGCCTTAATTGATTTAAGTGCCTGGAGTGAAAATGGTTGTCCCATCATATCCTATGTGGTTCAATATAAGCAACACTTTCAAACTGATTGGATTATGTTTTCAAATAATATTATGCCTTCACAGGGGAAATTGATTATTCCTGATTTAATACCTGCCACTTGGTACGATTTACTGATGATCGCTAATTCTGAGCCTGGAACGACCGAGGCTCAATATTTGTTTGCCACTTTAACTCTTACTGGAGGTGAGATGGTTTTCTTTATATTAATACTTTTCCATTTTATCCTTTTGTCTCATTTGTCTCATTTCTGTGATACATTGTTTTTAATTTTCTAATTGTTGTTGATTTTATTTGTTCCTTTATTTTCCCTCTCTACAATTGCACAGGAACAATTCCACCAATCACTTCTAATACTTACTCCAATTGGGAATTAAACCTTGGTGATCCTGTGGTTTTAGCTCCTATTTTATGTGCTTTCATTGTGTTCATAGTTATATTTATTACTATTGCTATTCTCATGTCAACTAAACACCAACGAACCGATACTTCCCAAGAGACTTGTAAGTTTAATTGCTCAGGAATTATATTCTTCCACCTTATATGAAACCACCATTATCACGAGTCATGGCTTATTAACTGATCACTTTGTTATTTTTATTCTTTGTCAAATATCAGATAATACAAATGATAGACAAAAAATGGAAAGTCTATCCATGTCTTCATTTGCCCTTCCAGTTGAATCTTCAATTGATGGTAAGTGATGTTAATTTAGACGATTCATTTTAACAATCGAAAACTGATTTTTGCTTTGCCTCTTTTGTCTCTGTTTTCAGGTAAAAAGATTTACGAAACTGTCCAACGTAAATCAGGGTATGGATCTTATTATACTTCACCTTATGCCGCTAATCGTTTAGCTTTTTGTGAACAAGAAGTCGCTTTAACGTCCAATTTACATCAAATTCAACGACATTCACGAATGGATCCTGATCCTCCCTACGATGTCCTATTAACCCGAAATTTCCGGCCCAATTCACCTGGTTAACATACGAAACATCATCATCATCATACCAAAGATTTTACTCCTAATATTTTTTCCCGTTTTCTTTCAGATTCAAACGATCATTTCGATCAATATACAACTAATTAACCAATGCCATGAACAATCAATCTTTTTTTCTCTCTCCCTCTCTTTTGATTTCCAATTGTTGCAACTTTAATCTCGATGTTAAATATTATTAATATAACTGTTAATATCGATATTATCGACTACTTATACGAATACTTTTACTCACTTAACTGTAATAATGATAATTTAATAACTTTGCTTCAGAGTTTAACAATCGTTAAATCAGAAGCAAAAAAGATTGTGCCTCATTATATTGGTTTAATTAACCTAATGTCCAAAGCGAAAACATTTAAATCAAACTAACAATTTGATTAGCCAACAAAAAAAAGAGAAATGTAAATTCACCAACAATTGATTCCAATATAAAATCAATCAACTTAAACATTGTCTTTTTTTTAATTGTTACACATACCTGACAATTTGAGCTCAAAATAGAAAACAATTAATTTCCAAAATTAACTCTGATGATCAAAAATTAGACTAAACAATAAATGTAATATAAAACTTTCTCGTTTCTATTTAAATGTAACATATAAAGTGTATTCAAATCATTTTGTACAATAAAGTTTCACTTTAATCATTAAATTGTCAAAGAAAATCTATAAATCACAACAATTAGCACGATAAATGCCAATTGGTTGAATTAAACTCAAGTTCGATTTGGTTTATTATAAAACTAAATTATTCTCGAATCGGTTTGTGTTTTTTTAATTTCTTAATTGTGGAAAGTAATTTACTCATTCGCCTATTTTGCTCTTCTTCAATTTCCTCCGATGTCTTCAGGCGATTTAAACTGATTCCCGCTCCAACGGCTAAGTTAATATCTTTTGTCTCCTTGGAGAGTAACATTATCTTGGTACATTCTGAGATGTCGAAAGCTTTGGCATTTTTCATGGCTCGAAAAGATAAATTCGTAGTTGGAAAACAATAGTTGGGTATTTTCAGCGAAAGTGCTTTTTTCAACGACAAAGGTTCACTTGATCTCGATGATAATCCGCCGATAATATAAATTGCATCTTCATCGAAATGGGTTAAAGTGGCTTTTGAATATGGTGAAAGATAAATCAACTTTTGATTGGGAAAAAGTTGATCGAAATTTTCACTGTGTTGTTCAATTCCAAGGTGACCATAACTAGATTTGTATGAGACGGAATATTCATTGAGCAAATCCAAGAATATTTGATTTTTTAGTCCGGTTAAGGTTAAATTAAAGGGTTCGATTGCAGTTCGGTTATGGGCAAACGCTTTCTGTAAATCGTGGATCACATTTTTAGCACTGATAACGTCATAATCATAATCACAATCTATGATTAATCTGGTTCCAAAGAGGCAACTGGATAATAGATTGGAGAAAAATGAACATCGATATTCAAATTGACGAATCCTAATAAAGTGACTATTTAACCATTCGCCGTATTGAGGTGCTCCAGTTTTCGGGTCGAATTGGATTCCAAGATCTATAGTTTTACCTTCATCCTTGATTCTTTGTATATCATTGTAACTTGATGATTTAGATCTCTGAGATCTATGTAATCTTTTACCTTTTGTTATATGCTCTTTTTCGTACAAATATTTAAAACTAGATTGCCAAGAGTTTCTTGGTAATTTCATCAGTTCGTACATTTTAGTTACTTTGATTGTTGATGGCACAATTCCGGTATCAAATTTAATATACTCATAGAAGGATAAAATTTCACCGACCAGTTTAGCATCTTTCTCTGTTTTAATTAATTCTTTGAACATGTCAACTGTCAAGTCTTCGTAGGTAACATTCGCGTAAATCTCGTCCTTGTCATAATCGATCCTTTTACTATAAACTCTAAACGATGAAAGATTTGATTTAAATTTACTATTAGAAAACAGGATAGAAGATAAAGTTTTCCTTGATAAGTCACATGATGCTGATGAGGATGATGAAAACACTGATGAAGATGATGATCTAGATGGATTCGCCTGAAGTCCAGAATATTGAAAAAATTCTTTTTGTAAAGAAGATTAAATGAAGATGGTAATTGAGCCGAAAATCTAAAAGAAAACAAAATGAAGCGAAAGAGAGTTAGATTAGAATGGTAAATGAATAGAAAATGTAAAAGAGAAAAGAAAACGATAATTTGAAATGTACTTACAATTTAAACCTCATTGCTTAACAATTTAACCAATCGAATCATCAAATTAAACTATGTAATTAATGGGAACAAGTAAAAATCAAATTGTAAACACTTTGAGTGAAAATAAACACATGTAAAAATTGATAACAAAATTGATGCTCCGAAAACACTGTTACCATGGTAACAATTGTGTTCACAATTTGAACTTAATTGTTGAAGTTTTATTTTTGTTGGAACAAAATAATTGTAATTTTTTAAGTGAATTTTGTATTTTCCAATTCGCTTCGAAGATCACGGAAACTTCTCTTCAATATTCTAACTGTCCTTTCATCGGCGGCCACTTTTATTTCCTCTTCAGTTCGATATCGACCTGGACTAACTCCATGTTTCAAAGCAGCGGCTAAATTGTTGTTGATACTAAGATGATCTAATATGTTGACACATTCTTGGCAACTTAACCTTTTAGATGCTTTAAAAACAAAATGATCATCTAAAGGTAATCGATAAGATTTTAATCCAAGAGCTTTAATCTTCTTTAATGAACCAAGTCTTATGTTAACCGATTGCAGATCAGGTAAACCACCAAGAACATAAATTGAATCTTTATCGTAGCTTTTCAGAGGATTAACTGAATAGGGTGAGAGGTAAATTATTTTCTCTTTCGGGAAAAGGTCGAGAAAATGTTCGTCTTTCATTTGTAAACCAATATAACCAAATTTTGGATTACTTGAATCTAGAAGTTCATTTAACATATTTTTATACGATGAGTTGATTGGTCCAGTTAATAGTAAATTAAATGGATCGGTTTGTTTACTGATTGCTTTGATTGTATAGTTGATATCCCAGACCACTTTTTTAGCTTCTACTATATTAAGATCATAATCACAATCTATCACAATCTTAGGTCCAAACATGTATCCAGAAATTAGATTACTGTCAACACTATGAGTTAATTCAGCTTTTCGGAATCTCAGGAAATGGGAATTTAACCATTCACCATACAATGGAGCTCCGGTTTCGCTATCAAATCTAACGCCCATGATTTGTTGTTTGCCAGCGTTTCTTTCAATTTCCAGGTGAGGATGTCGCTCAGGAAGTGGCCTGGCTGTCTTTTGTCGAAGATATTTACTCAATTCACGATTAAATAGTGTAAGAAAATACTGTTCCCTCTTATAAAAATTCATCTGTAATAATTTGGACATATTTTCAAGGGTTAATGTCGTCGGGACTTTACCAGTTTCATATTTAGCTACCGTATAACTTGCCAAAATTTGCTCGATCTGTTTAGCATCTTCATCTGTTTTAATTAATTCTTTGAACATGTCAACTGTCAAGTCTTCGTAGGTAACATTCTCATAAATCTCCTCCTTATCATAATCAATCGTTTTACAATAAACTCTAAACGATGAAAGATTTGATTTAAATTTACTATTAGAAAACAGGATAGAAGATAAAGTTTTCCTTGATAAGTCACATGATGAAGATGATGATCTAGATGGATTCGCCTGAAGTCCAGAATATTGAAATAAATTCTTTTTGTAAACAAGATTAAATGAAGATGGCGATTGAGCCGAAAATCTAAAAGAAAACAAAAGAGAAAAGAATTAGAATCAGAATGGAAAATGAATAGAAATTGTAAAAAGAGAAAAGAATAATTTCCATTCTACTTACAATTTAAATCTCATTGTGACTGATTATGTAACTTGACCCAATCAGCAAATTAGACTAAGCAATTAAAGGTAACAAAATTGAAAACATTTCCAATCAAAACAAACACATGTAAAAATTAAAAACAAAATTGATGCTCCGAAAACACAGTTACCATGGTAACTAACTGGATTCTAAATGCTTACACAATAAATTAACTCAATTGAACTGAGTCATTCACCAAATTGCTCATCAAATTAATCCCTTAATTGTAAACATTCACAATCATCAATAAGTTAATTTCTTAAGTTAATCAACAGATCAAAACGATGAAGGAAACGAAACAATTAACAAAATTTTGAATTTTGTTCTCGTTGACTCCAAGAGGAAGGACCAAGAAGATTCTCCGCCTCCAACCAGAAAAAGAATATTTTTCAACCAAAGAGAGAAAAAGGTTACCCCATCTGTTGGAGAAATTGTTCAATCTTCTCATTTTGTTCTCTTGTTCCTTTAGTTAGTCATCACAAAAGAGAATTCGTCTTTTTAAATTTTCTCTCTCACTGAAGCTTCATCTCTTTTTTTCTGTATCTTCATGTGTGCCCTTCCCTGTGATGGTTTAGTTTTAGATTGTAATTAAATTGTAATCATCAATTAATCATGAATCAGAGGTGAGTTGTTGATTAAAAGAGAAGAATAATTTTCTCTTGTTTCTCTGTGGCCTTTTTTTCATCTCTCATCCATTGGTTTTAATTTTTCTTCTCTTGGTTTTTTTTTCTCTCTCTCTCTCTCTCTCTCTCTTTCTCTTCCTCTCTTTTTCACTTCTGTCTATCCCCATCTTTTCTTTCTTCATCTCTTTCTTTTTCTGTTCATCATCTTTTCTTTCCATCAATTTTTTCATTTTTTTCTCTTTTTCTTCTTTTCTCTCCTTCTGATGCTACTTCTGCTTCACTTTTCATCTTCTTGCTGTACTTCCTATGCAATGTATATGTTTCCATCATGTATACATCAAGTGAGCAATCCATTACATCGGCTAGGGCGTCTGTTATGATTTACGATGAAATGAACAAAAAATGGATACCATCGGGAACTTGCTCGGGTGTCTCTAGAGTCCATATTTATCAAAATGTAATAAACAACACGTTCAGAGTTGTTGGAAGAAAACTTCAAGATCATGAGGTAATTATACTTTGATTTCTATTCTCTTTATATTATTCTTTTACTTTATCAACTTAAATCTATCATCTTAACATCTTTTATTCTTTTTTTCTCAATTCATCCCCTTTAAATTTGTTCTTTATCTCTCTCTCTCTCTCTCTCTCACTCTTGCCAATTAGTCTCTTTTCTCTGTGTTGATATTTTTTTCTCTGGTTCATTTATATACTTATATATACTTATGTTTATTTGTTTTTCTCCGACATCTATAATTCTGTTGAAGATGAAAGAAAAAGAGAAAAGAGAGAGAGAGAGAAAGAGAGATAAAATGATAACCATCTCTTCAGTACAATTACTTGAATTTTAAGCGATAATAATCATTTTTCGATTAACTCGTATGTGAATAACAGTTTCACAATCAACTGTCACCTTTGAGACTATCAAAGGTACTCTAGGTTTTTGGTAAATGCAAGCTGGACATTACCAGGCAAATATTGTCAGTAAAGTGACCAAATGTTAAGCTTAAAGTGACATTTGTTTGTTGGGCTATTTTCTTACAATCCCTTTTGTCTTGATCTTTATTTTCTTCCTCTTTCTCTTTTTTTCCCTTTATTACCTTTTCCGGATATTTTTTTCTCAATCCTTATTAAATAAATTTCTGGTCTTCTTCTTACAGGTCGTCATTAATTGTGCCATTGTTAAAGGATTAAAATATGTCACTGCGACACCAACATTCCATCAATGGAGGGATAGTAGACAAGTGTATGGTTTAAATTTTAGTAATAAAGATGATGCACAAGGTTTTGCGGAAACAATGATCCAAGTATTGGATGTTCTTAGTTCAACCAATTCAATGAATAACTCAATAATACCAAATAAGAATTCAATCATGGCTAATCATCAACAACATCCTCAACAGCAACAACAACAATCCCAACCTCAACAGCCTATGGCCCAACAACAACAACAACAACAGCCACCACAGATTCCGCAGATACCCCAACTTCCACAACAACCAATGTTACCCATGCAACCACAACCTCCTCAACCACCACCTCAACAGCAACAACAACAGCAACTCCAACAACAACATCAACAATTACAACAGTTACAACAACAGCAACAACAAGCACAGTTGCAACAATTACAACAACAGCCTGTTTATGGACATTGTGGTGGACCTGGTCCTGGACCAGGAGGTGGTGGAGGAGGAATGATTGGTCAGCCTCCCTCTGCATCGGAGTATATGCGCATAGACTTTCAACTCCGGTAAGTGAATAAAAGAAAACAGATAACAGACAAAATAGGAGGTTTCACCTTTTATAATTTTTATCATTCAAAGCGAAATATCCATAGGACTTTATTGTTTGTCCATAGAATTAATCTTGTTACTCTGTCTTTAAGCTGGAAAACAGATCAATTTATTGGAGGAAAATAAGAGAAACTGATGAAACCTAGAGAATGAGAATAAAATCAATTTATTTTGCTTAATAATAGTTCCAATTGGTTAAATTTCATTTGTTAATGAAAGATTCTCACTCTCTTTCTCCCTTTCTTCTGTTTACAGTCCGATGGTTCAACCTCCATCGACAAACTCAGTACCCCCACCACCGCCACCGCCACCACCACCACCTCCACCTCCTGGTAGCCTAATCTCAGCGGCTCCTGCACCACCACCACTTCCAGTGTCAGGAAATCAGACACCAAATGAAAAGTCTAATAATAATAATATATCTAATAATTGTATTAACAATAATAATAGTAATGCTGGTCCATTAAATTTAGCATCAGCTTTGTCAAATGTTAAACTTAAACGTACCGGTCGAGATGAAAAAGATGCTGATTCAATAAGTACCAAAAGCTCATCAGGTTCAATGGGTGTTGGTGGTATTGCCAGTATGATGGATGAAATGGCAAAAACTTTAGCACGTAGAAGAGCTCAAGCAGAGGGTATTCAAAATCAAAATGATTGCGATTCAACTACTCCGGTTGGTGAAAAACGTAATTGGGATAAAAAAGTAACTACTAACGGAAATAGTCCCAATAAGGATTCCAATGAATCAAGTCTACAAAGGTTTTAATCTTTTACTTCTTTCTCTTCCTTCCTTCCAGCTCTCTCTCTCTCTCTCTCTCTCTCTCTCCTTACTAACTCACTCACTCACTTTTTCTCTCGTTTTACCTCTCTCCTTCTATTCTTCCTCTCTATCTATCATTTATCCATTTTTATCCTTTTTTCTTATTCTGATTTGTGTCTATTTCTTTTTCTTATTTCCAGATTAAGGGCTGGTTCCTTAGACAGTGGTAACATAAACGGTATTGACCAAATAAAAATAGAACAATTGAAACAAGAAATTCTGAATGAAATAAGGCGGGAGATCACCAAATTGAAATCTGAAATAATTGATGGTATGTTAATTTTTTCCGTTTTGCTCTTGTCAGTTATCATCCGATCATCATATTTAGGAATTTTAACAGTAACACACACACATTTAAAACATTACTGTTATTTGGTATTATTTACCAGGCACACCGGATGTTTTTCAAATAAACCAGAGTGAGAAAGAGAGAGAGAGAGAGAGAGAGATTAAGAGATGATAAAGAAAGAGAGAAAAAGAGAACTGACAAACCGAAAAATTCTCCAAAAAATACCTCCGTTTTCTCATATAATGCAATTAGCTAGAAACTCAATCACTAATCAATGGTATGAGTTTCTATGATTAGAAATTGTCTCACCGAATACGATGATTACATTTAATTATTTGGTAGATTGATTGTTAATTATTAATAGTTAATCAAGGTCTTTAAATAGTTTGTATCATCTGAATCCAATTATTCTCGTGACGCTTCATGAGTGTGGTAAAAACTGATCTATCTTTCAATCTTTGTTACCCTTTTATATTTTTCTACCATTCATGGTTATCTATTTTTGATTCTGAATTTTTTATCAGCCAATAATTTGAATTGAATATTCTACATTTTTAATTGTATTGTTTTTCTTTCTTCCAATGTAAACATAAACTAATTATCGATTGTTTATTTCTTCCTCTCATTACAGCCATACGATTAGAGTTAAGGACATAAACATCATGCAAATCCACCCTTTTACTTTTTATCTTCATCAATTGCCACAACTTTACACCTTTTCCTTAACACTTCTCTCTCTCTCTCTGTCTCTCTCTCCTTACAAAACAACCAACTAGAAAAGTCCATGTATACACCCACACACACAGAGTGACAAAAACAAAAAATCACTTATCAAGTCAACTAACTACATACACAGAAACCAATCACCAAATACAAAAAAAAATAGATTATTGCCTTTGATGAATTTGTTTTTCTATTCTATTCCTATCATGGCAATGGAGATTGATCGACTCAACGGAATCTCGTTTGGTGACTGAAACCCCGATTAACCAGATAAATCATTTTTTTCTCTCTTATTTTATTTTACATCAACTTAATTTTACAACATTGATCTTCTTATGTGTGTAATCGGACCATTCCAAAGCAAAGGCAAAAAAAGCAAAGTTTGTCCACCACCAGAATAGGAGCAACACATTATCTGCGTCAATAGCATCCTCATCCTTTTTTCTCCTCATCTTCATCTTCATCAACTTCATCATCATCATCACCATCATCATCGCCATCTTCATCAACAATAATAATCACTCTGATTGTCACAACAACAAAATCTACTACTATTGAAAGGAGCAGAGAGGAGGGAGAGAAAGAGAGTAAGAAGGCTCAAACTCTTTAATCAACTCAACCACACTCACTAAAAAACAAACTGAATCAGACAGTTTTTTTCACCATTTTCATTGATTCCCAGTCATTTTTAATTTCAAAGGGAACCTTTGATTTATCACCTTCCTGTTTGAATGCTATCTCATTTTCCCCGTCAATATACTTATAGATTTATGAATATATTTCTCTTCCTCTCTCCTTTCTCCTCTTGTCTCTCTTTCTCTCATCTTCCTTTTCCTCCTTCTTTTTCTGATATTGGAACTAATATAAATTCACTCAATTGTAACTGTTCCGATGGCTCACAATTTTAGAGGAGTTTAAAACAAGTCAAATTACTACAAATTATTATTAATAATTTCATGAGATACCAGAAAACGAGAAAACGAGAGCTAGAGAGAGATAGAGAGATAGACCAGAGGAAACAGAGAAAAAAGAAAATCAAACTGAGAATTTTGATCTTCTCCTTTGCTAAAATTACTTTTGAGAAACAAAAGATCGCCAGCAAACGAATTAATACTTATTTCGAGTAATCACTTTAGGCTGTAAGAACTTTTTCTTCGCTCCTCATCATCCTCATCTTCTTCCTAACTCTTTCCCCATCTCATCTTCTTCTCTCCAACTTATTCTTTCTTAAAACAAAAAAATCATTTTCTTCTATTTCTCATTCTAAAGAAACCATTTTTTTGCATCCTTGTACTTTGCATTACAGTCAACAAACAAAAAATTATAATAATTAATAATATTAATTTGTACGCATCATCCATTGTGAAGGAAATATTATAAATATAACAATTTAGCTTCGATAATTATTGTTTTTCTTTCTTTCCGAGGTAATCATATACTCTCAGGTTAATTTAACTAATCAATCGGTTATATTGGTCGTTTTTATGAGCAAATTAATTCAACTCACTTGAAGTAATTAATGTTAATCATTAATTACACTTTCATGGTTACAGTTATATAATAACAATGATTGATTTCAAGATATTTTGGAAATGGAAAAGATAAAATCTTGAAATTTGATGAGTTTGATCATTACCTTTGTTTTTCATGAATCAACTTTTTCATAACTAATTTGATGATGTTAGTTGATTAATATCAATAAGATTTGTTAATTATTTCATATATTTTGTTTGTTTTTTGCACAAAATGTTTCTGATTTCTGGTGATGTTTTTATCAGCATCGAATCGCCTTTGAAAATTAGCTTAATCGTGTTGAATTTACATAGAACAATTTATGTATTTATGGACTTGGCCATTGTTGGCAAATTTAATTGGTTAGGTGAATAGATTTATGAAGTTAATATCCTCCTCCGAGGGTAAAACCTCTGCCCCAATTGTGTCCTCTTGCTGTGGGCCTTTGTTGTTGCTGTTGTTGGGTTGGTGGGACATAAGTAAATCCACCAACTCGATTTTGAATATTGGGAAAATAGTCATAAAGTATTGAAGGTACTCCAATTAACTCAACTCCATTTTCAGCAGGATATTTGACCATCGTATAATAGTAAAGATGACCAATTACTATACCAATGATCTCGAACATTACACTAATAAGATTTAAAGAGGAAAAGAAAAATTAATGTTTCTAATTTGATAAGTTATAATAATCATAATCGAAATGAAATATGAAATCGATTAAGTTTCATTTTTGTTTACCTTCCACCCATGAGCATATTAAATCCGAGTAGAACCCATGGTAAGTACATTGCTTTTACTCTGATACCGAACCAAAATGAAACAATTTGCTCCTTGTTAAATTGACACCAAATATAAAGAACAGATAAAACCATTGAATCCATAAGAAGGTAAATACTGAAAAAATAACCAAATATTACAGACCAAATCCAATTGAATATCAATAAGAAAAGATAATCAGCTGGTTTCGATGCAAACTCGGGACCTGAAATAGAATTTAAAAAAGAGAGATAAATTAATTCAATGTCAACATTTAAGAGTTGAAAATTAAAGCGAATGATAAACATATTGTCAATCAATTCATTTATGAAGATATCACTATTTCTATAATATTGACATTCTAATGGTAGATTGATATTTCATGCGACAAATATAATATGACTTGGAAATTTTTGGAAAAGGATGAAACTTTTTTCCAGTACGAGAAAAGGCAAAATATGAGTAAACGTTTCGGTTAATGAAAACAGCTGATTGTTGACATAATCAAGTTTTCTTTCATTTAATCGTGATAATCCTTGTAGAAATTGATAGAAAAATGAGAAAACCATTGGAGATCCAATGAGAAACAAACCTGTTTCAAGTCGTAATGAGTAATGGTAAAGAAAATAGAGATTCATAAGGTAATGAAATCCCGTTGGGTAATAAAATGTAGCTGTAAAGGGCCTCCAAAGCTAAAGAGGAAAAAGAGAAGAGAAAATGGTAAAAAAACTATAATAATCAAAACCATATTAAGACAATAAAAGAATAAAGGAAAAAAAGAATTGAAAAAAATTCTATTCTCCAATGATTCTTACCTGAAGTTGAGTAATAAATTGTGGAGTCAACATGACAGACATTGGCGAGAAGAGACCAAATTTTCCGACGATGGGAAAAGCGACAGACAACCCAAGCCAACATCTAGTAAATCTTGGTAAACTATCAAACCATTGAATTATCTCTGACATGATGAATGAAAGGCAAAATTGTGTCCAAAATCAGTTAATCAAAATTAAGATGAAACAAGAAACAAACAAAAAAAAACCGAAAACCAATCAACGGAAATACAAAAAGAAAAGGAAACACAATCACAGAAGAAAAATGTGTAACCTTTAATCACACAGAAGAAAACCCAAGATAATCAGTAAGAAATTAGATCAATCAAAAGGGTATTCCAATGAAATTAAATTGAAAAGGTTAAATTTAATTTAATCACAGACAATTAATGTAATCAAAACATAAAAAGATTAAAAAAAAAACTGATGATCTGTTTTAACTCAATTCTAATTCTTTTGAACAACAGATGGCGCTCCAAACGTTGTATTTTCTTTTCTATTTTCAAGTAATGAAATTTTTCCTCACATGTTAATTATCATCTAAAGTAAATTAATTTATTAATTGTGATGTTATTTGACTTCTAGTTTTTGTTTTAATTTGTTCATCATAGTGTAAGGAATCGGTTGACATCTCAATTGTTGACATTTAACTAGCGTATTATCGGTTAATTATTGGGTTTAATTTGAAAGATAAAGAGTAACCAAAAGGTAGCGGCTGCTATACTTACCTTTCACAAGCATGGCTACCGAGTCTACCACCTTAGAGGGATCAGAGAAAACTGGAGATACATCACCTGTAACCACCGATGTACCAACTTTAACAGCTACCATAACCACCACCCCGACGCCAACAATAACACCTACTACACAAGGAGCAACAGTAACTGGTGGTGGTGGTGGTGGCGGTGCACCACCTTCAGAGACAACATCCAATATACTCTTTATCCGTAATTTGGTTCGACCTTTCACCTTGGTAAGGTTAAAGGAACTTTTAGAGAAAACTGGTAAACTGGTTGAGGATCAATTTTGGATTGATAAGATAAAGTCAAAGTGTTATGCTACGTATGAAAAGATAGAGGATGCAATACAAACTCGTGAAACACTTCATGGTATTTCTTGGCCTGATGCTAATCCTAAAAAATTGATTATTGAATTTGCTACACCGGAAGAGTTAGAGTATCATCTCAATTTGGATAAAAACCCGCCATCATCTTCATCTGTACCTTTACAACAACAACAACAACAACAATCTTCAGCTCAACCTTTATCATCATCATCTTCACGCGCTCGAACTTATTCAACTAAACAAGATAATTTAAATGAATTGAAAGAGAGCAGTAAAAAAGAGATTATTAATGAGAAATTCGATGCTGTCATTAGAAGAGGTAAGTTGGAGAAATTAGATCAAGGTTCATCAAAAGATTTGAAAGAGAGTAATAAGCAAGATCGGGCTGATAAATCAGAGAGAGAAAAGAGACCTATTAGAGAATGGGATAAAGAGAAATTTTCTCATAATGATCAACCAGCAGAAGAGATAATCTCACCTAATAAAAAGAAAAGAGCAAATAGTGCCAGTCCAGAAGCTAAGGGAAGACGAAACAGAGACGCCCAACAACATAGAGAAAAAAATCGTATTCATAAAGGTAAGAATGAAGCATAGATTAGAAAAGAAAAAAGAAAATCTAAAATTCGATCAATTTTTCTCATCTGTCATCTTCGATTTTGTTCGTTTTTCTTTCTTTTACCCTTTAACTTCCCCTCTTTTCCTCTTATAGAGTCCGAAGAGGGTGATGGTAACTTAGCACATAAGGACGATAATGCCGGTGAACATGAATCACCGGCTAAACTTCTGGATGATCTCTACAAGAAAACCAAAGCAACGCCATGTATTTATTGGTTACCACTAGATGAGGATCAAGCCAAAAAACGAGCCGAATTAAGAGCTGAAAATTTAAAGAAAAGAGAAGAGGAAATGGCAGCTAGAGAAGCTACACGTAAAAGTCGATTAGAGAAGCAACAAAGGCAAAGACGAAGGACTCCACCTCCGTACGAGCGCAGGGTAAGTCAATCATATAGGAGAATGAAAGGAAAATAATCATATGATCAACCCTAGTGAAAGAACATGTAATCGTATTTGATATGAAATACGCGCCAATCCTTTGATCTTTAATATTTTTTTCATTCTCATGTTGATTCTTTTTTTGGTTCTCTTTTAACCCTTCATATTTTCACTTTTTTTTTCTTAAATTCGATAGCAGGAAAGAAGTCCAGTTGCATACAAGGGAAGAGAACCTGCTTTCAATCGTCGAGCTGGTCCTGGTCGGGGATCTTATTCAGGTAGAAGAAGTCAACCCTCTCGGCTTCGTGATAGAAGGAGTCGAAGTCGTTCATCGTCTGTATCTAGATCACGTTCACGTAGCCGATCCTACTCAAGATCCAGAACGCGAAGCTCATCCAGATCAAGATCTCGTTCTGTTGCTCGTAAACGTAGTCGCTCACGAGTCTCTAGAAGTCCTAGAAGAAACGGAGCCAACTATGTAAGAAGAAGCAGCAGATCAAGAAGTCGAAGTCCTCCCCCTAAACGCATGGTCTCTCCACGTCGAAGATAAATCTATAAGAAAAACGAAATTTCTGCTCCTTCTCTTCGCTTCATCTCTTTTTTCGTCTCACTCTCTCCTCGATGTCTCTTTCCGTCAATTCAGTTCCCGCGTCTGCTTTATTTCTTCTCTCTCTCTCTCTCTCTCTCTCTCTCTCTCTCTCTCTCTTACTCTCTCTCTCTATTTCTCTCTTCCCAATCTTGCTTAGGACCAATTCTTTGTTTAGGTCTCTCTCAACTCTCAAGATATATTTCCTTTCTCTCATTCAACACTCATGTCACATTCTCATCAAAAATTATTTAGCTAATCCACACACTGAAGAAAGAAAGAAAAATAATTCAACTTTACAATCCCTTTATAATTTCATCTTCGAAAGTTCATCTCTTTATATAAACTCACACACAAACACACGAAACACTTACATCCACATCATACAGTAACAACAACAACAACAAACATCTATCAACAAATGATAAACAACAACAAAAACAACAATTGCATAAACATACACTAAATTAGTTGGAAAACACATGAATTAATTATCATTTCGATGAATTGAATCAAGTAAATTAAGCTAAAGATGAAAGCTACACATTGACTTTTGAATGATAAAATAAAGTGGTAAACAATTTGATACTACAATCAACACCAAAAACAACAACATCAACAAATAAAAACCACCAACATTAAAATTGACAACAATTAATAGAAAACAAAACTCAATCCTAATTGAAGTTAAATGACAACATTTTCAATCAATATTAAAGTAAATCTTTTAATAATAAATAGTAACTATCATTCCAGTTGAAAATTAATTTCCAATACTAAGTGTTGGCTAATAATCCAGAAAAAGCTTCATGAACAATAAGAAAAACAAGTAAACTGAACAAAAAAAACAAAAGAAATTTAATTAACCATCTAATAGATGAAAATAATGCACAATCAATTATCGCAAGTTAATTGTCGATTATAGTTAATTGGTAAACTAATTAGACTCCACGTTTCGAACAGCAGACTCGTATAATTGTTTTTCTAAATCATCTTGAAATCGGAGTCGGAGGCTTAAAGGCTTTGAAAGAGCCAAATTAGTCGAGATCATAATTGGAACAATTTGATCAACTGATTTGGAACTTTTGTCAAAAGAAAAAAATATTTGTCAGCAGTGGGGTTCGAACCCACGCACACATACGTGTACCAGATCGCTCACAATCTCAGAGATGAGATAAGAAGTTAATCTTGAGTCTGGCGCCTTAGACCGCTCGGCCATACTGACGAACTGAAATTCTGTCTCTTATTTTGCATGCAAAACTTGCAAATGATTTTCATCCAAGAATCAGAATAAACAATCAACATTTTCGATGATCAATTAATTTCTAGGAATCTTTTTCACTTCTATTGATGATCTAAATTTGTTCTCTCTCTTTCTCTGAGTTTGTGGTGGTTCTTAAATCGAAATTGAAATGACTAGAACGAAGAAAATTGTATCAACTATTAATATTAATTTCCAAGTTCGACTTGAGTTTTAATCTTATTCTTATTTTTATGATGAAAGATAATTAACATTAGAACGATGAAATGATGATCCATAATTACGGTTAATGTTACAATTGTTTTTCTTCTTGGTTCTTCAATTGATTTTCTATTATAGTAAATTAGTTAACTGTGAGAATTATGATTCTGCTCTAATCAGAATAATCGATTAGAATCTCTTTTTTCTTCTTCTTCTCATCTTTGATGATAATCAAATCTTAATTTTGATTGATAAAAACGCTGAAATTTTATATATCATATGAATTTTCCCGTTGATCTATTATCTGATACTTGGAAGATAATGATTATCATTCCCTGGTGATGATAAGCATGATGATTATGAATCTGTTTGAAACAAAAAACAACAGCAAAGGTAAAAACTACCATGGAAACATAATAAACAAGAAATGAAATAATAATCATCATTATCATCATCATCATCGATGATATAAATAAGGTTAAGAAGGTAAATACATAAATTGTTCAGTGTTAGGAATTGACTTGCTGTTAAATTGTTGTTATATTCAATTAATGGGAAAGTTGCTCATCAATATGCTCGAGTATCTGTATTGAGTTAATTGTTATAATCAAAAGTGTTACAGTTTAATATATTGAACAGTTGATCTACTGGAATTATTAAATGACAAGTTTGTAACATTATCCTTGATTGTTGATGATTATCTGTTGATTTTGTTTCTTTATTGTGATTCTAATGGGGATGATAATTAATAGGCTACTAAATTGATTGGATTTGGAAGGAGGAGATAATTAACTAATTGGGGTATTGATAATGAATAATTAAAAGCTTCTGATGTAATGATTTAAAATCTTTTAAAGTGATTTAGTTTATTAGCGATTCTAATTACATTGATCAATTTAAATTTCTCAGTTAAGTTTGTTTACTTGGTCCTTTTCATCGTGTTAATTGTTTTAACTGTTAATTGTTATGGCTGGAGTTATCTCATTACCTTCACAACCTCCACCACAAACACCACCACCACCACCACCACGATCACCACCAATTCCTTGTGAATCAATTGAAAAAGTTGATTATGATGTCGATTATTTCACTCGATTATCCCGACGGATTCAAGATGGATTCAAAGATGATATTGATCGAGGTAAGTTTTTTAATTCAGTTATCCCATGAATCCAAATTTAAGTTAATCAATCCACAGAAATTACTACAAGAGGATTGAATTAAATCGTCATGACAATTATCAATGAGCTCGATTGTCATAATTGATCTGTTTCTATTTAGAGATCGTTGTTAATATTAATCGTACGATAGTTGACTCAAAACAATTGCTTAATTGTTGGCCAGCAATTTACTTGTTTGTTTGTTGATTGTCTTGATATTTAACTCGATTTGTATTTGCAAGAAAATTATTTCGTATGAAATTAAATTGATTTTATTAGATGAAAATATAGAGAGAAGTTGATTAACTTATGATGAGTTGATTTAAATTATATTACGTTGGGTTAATTTGGTTTAAATTGTTACACGTTCACAGAGGTATTCACGAAAACGATATTACAACAAACCCGTGGTTTAGAATTGAAACTTTCTGGTCACAAATATCCATCGACTTGTATCCAATGGGTCATCGAGAATACAACTGATTGTGCCATTATAAAGTCGCTTGCATTGGCCTTTTACCCGAAGGGATTAGATCCAAATTGTTTAACTAATCAACATACAAGTAGAGTGGTTCAGTTACTCTTGGAAGCGGCATTGAAAATCCTTTCCAATGAGTTTACCTTTAATGGTCATAAAGCCGAGGAACCAACTCGACACGGTAAATGGACTGAACAATTTATCGCTGGCTATTCACAATTCATACTTATCCATATGGATAAAATGTTAGCCGATGGTAACGGAACCCATGTCATGATTACCGTTATTGAAGCTCTTGGTGGAGTTCGTATTGGTCGACATTGGTCTCGAAAGACAATCGGATTTGCACTTAAATCATCAATCAACACGGAACTTGAAAAGGATAATGTTATCGCCGAGTTACCTGTTAGTTTTACCAAATTGTTGATAAAAATGGCCAAACATTTGATCGTAATTAGACCCGATAGAGATTTAAAAGAGATTATTTTAGGACGTGGGACAACATTGATCCAGAATTTATTATTCATTCTAAAGGTTCGAATACCTGAAATTTGCCAATATTCAGTTAAACGTTTAGTTTATATTATTTTCTCAACGGAGGAAAATAAATTTGCCATAACAACCAATTCGGCCTCCGCTTACCTGGTTGAAGCAATAATGCTCGTTTGTTCACAACACCGACTCACCCAATTGTGGGACAGGTACTTAAAGGGTAAACTAATGGAGATGTGGAAAGATGATATCGCTAATTTTGTGGTTCAACGATTAATTGATGCGGTTCAAGATATTAACTTGGTAAATCAACATATTCTTATTACTAATAATATAATCAATTCCATGTCACTTTCTATCACCTTCTCAATGCTCTTTATCTTGATCCTTTTCGAACTCTGTTTTTTTATTTTCTCTCTCTCTCTCTCTCTTCTCTCTTTAACATATCGATCAATTAACTAACTATTAACACCATCGAAAATTAATCCACTAGAACATTTAATAGAAACAAACACGAGTCAAAGGAAAGAAATAAACAAAGTGACACTTAGCTCGTTATCTTTCCCTGTGGCTCAGTTTCTGTTCATATTTCACATGGTAAATTTGTTCAATTATCTACCATTAGTATTATCCCTTATTTTCCTCTTGTTTACCTTGTATCACACTTAATTTCTATTGTTAATTGTTAATATTCTTCTTCTTCTTCTTCTTCATTTATTATTCTTATTCTTATTACACTGGATTAATTATGAATCTTCACTTGTGGTGATACAAATAATTTCTTCAAATCTACTCGACAATATTTTCCTTTCTTCAAACTTTTCTTTGTTCGTTGTTATTAATTGATATTTTTCATTTCGCTGATTGTTTATCACTAATTTAGTTCAAGGGTATTTGTGATGAAATTTTCCCTGAATTGAGAAATGTTTTCTCCTACAATCGAGCTGGAATTGGTGTTTGCCTCGCCAAGGCGAGCATACGATTTACCTCAATGCAAGAACCTTTCATAAATGTAAGTTATCATTAATAGACCATTATTATTATCAGAGTAAATTGTTTATTTAAGTGTGGTAATTAACTTGTTGATAAATTTGCATATGTAAATTTCATCAAACAATCAAATGTCATTTCTAATGTAAACTGTGAACGTGTCTAAGAATTATGATAATATTGATCATCTTAATGATGATGATCAAATATACTTGGATTGGTTATTTGTGACGGATTGATTCAACTCTAATTGTTATCAAATCTTGATTTTTTTTTCTTTCTTTTTCAATTATTATCATTATCCTTATTGGATAGGCTTTAATGAGAGCATTTAATTGTGAGGATAAACAAGATCTCTTGGTTCCTTTGATGTTATTTGGTGATTCGAAACATCGTCGATCACTTTGGCTTCATGGTTCTCTGATGTTACAATACATTTTTCGATACGAAGATCCGTACAAAGTGTCCAAAAGTCTTTTATCTCTTGAGCCACAGCGTTTATTTGATATTTATTCGGATAAAAGTGGAAGTCATGTAATCGATTGTTTTCTTAAATCGGATAATGTTACAGAGAAATTGAAAGCACAATTTAACGAGAAGATTAAATCATATTCCATTGAAGAGTTTCCATTTACTGGTAGACGATCCTATTCACGATTCTCTAGAAGTCCCAGAAGAAACGGAGTCAACTATATAAGAAGAAGCAGCAGATCAAGAAGTCGAAGTCCTCCCTCTAAGCGAATGGTCTCTCCACGTCGAAGATAAATTCCATACAAACAATACACACAGAATCACGAATTTCTCCTCTAATATCTTTAAATTTTTCTCTTTCACTCCCTTGATTTCGTCCATCCAACTTTACAATCTCTCTGAAAGTTCATCTCTTTATATATATAAACACAAATCCCTCTCAAAATCCACTCTCACACAAAGAAAAAAACATCAATATCAACAAACCATTACAACCAAAACTAAATTGTTGACATACAATTAATAGGAAACAAAACTCAATCCCAATTGAAGTTAAATGACAACAATTTCAATCATTATTAAAAAGTGAATCTTTTACTAACAAACAATAATTTTCATTGCAAAAACTAATTTCCAATACCAAAGGTAGTCTCATATCCTGATCCAAAAAAACTTCAATTGAAATGAGAAGAAAACAAATTAACGACAAATTCAAATGACCAAAAGTAACAATCAAATTGATTCAAAAAACAATTAGTCAACAATTAGCGCACATTTAATAATCTCGGTTCCGTAGTGTAGTGGTTATCACGTTTGCTTCACACGCAAAAGGTCCCCGGTTCGAACCCGGGCGGAGCCAATCGAAAATTTTTTCGAATTTTTTTCCCCTCTCATTCCGATCGATTTGAAGTTCTAATGATTGAGAAAAGTTTTTGATCTCATTGATTCAATTAAAGATCAGAAATAAACTATTAACACATTTATATTGGAAGTCGAGAAAAATTTAATCAATGAGAAACACTTACGATGAACAATCAAATCGTAAATGTAAACAATTAACTTGTCAGCTATTCTGATTTCTGAAAATTAATCAATGAGAATTTAATTGTAAAATTTGATCGACTTTGGAAATCATCGTTATTAATACTTCTAAATTGTTGTAACTACGATGGACGATTAATTAATCAATTGGAGGCTCAGTTTGATTTTCAGGTTTGATTGTTGCTACACCTTAGGTTTTAACGACAATTTAATTGTTAACAATTAAGGAAGAATCAATTGAATGATTGGAATGAAAAAGAAATGGATTAACTTTTGATTCTCATTGTTGATTAGTGGAACAATTTAATATTATTATTATTAATAAAGGAATTGAATTGAATTAAATTGACTCATCGATTTTATCATTAATGTATCAGGTAACGGGGAATCATTGACAATTTATTAATGATGATTATCATTCCCAGTGAAATAAATACATTAATATAATTTAATTGTAGGTCAAAAATTGTATCATCATTAAAGTAAATCAAGCAACAACAATAAAATCAATACTTAATTGTATTCATTTGATTAGATGTGAAGACAAATCAATCAAAAAAAGTTAATCTATTGGATATTTAAGATTGAATCATTTAACAATCAAGTAAATGATGTTAATTGTTAATCGTTAACCTGAATTGTTACATTAAAAGAAGAACCAAAAAAAAATGATTCAGTTTAATTTCACAATAATCGTTAAATTATTGACAATTTAATTTCCTTTCTAATTGTTGATCATAATTTAATTTTCTCTCTTATCATCTAATTATTATCAACTTTTATCTATCAATATTTTCGTGTAAATAAATCAATTAAGTGCATCAGTAATTAAGTTAATCATCATCATCAAAGTATCTAAATTTACACTCTAGTTAATCAATCTTATCATCACCATTTTAAACTTAATTGTTGACAATCAATTGAATAATCAGCTTAACAAATGATCATCGACAAAAAAAAACAAGGTCAATCAGTTGTCCTTTAATTTGATTGTTCAATTAACACTAATCAACTGCCAATGATTGCTGGTTAATCAGAGACAATTTTTTAATCACAAATTTTTTACTCAAGAGATTAAGACACAGCAATTAATCAACAACCAATCAGGTTAACTAAATCAACGGAAATCAAGGTGAAAACATCAACAGTTTACAAATTGTCGGTTAATTGTTAACCCCTATTCCTTTTAAAGGTGAAAAGCAATCAAATTAAAATTCGCGAAAAAAAAAAGACTAAACAATTATGATTAATGTGCAGATTTTTAATTACCAAAAATTTTTTTTCTTTATAATTTCAACATGAAGTTTTTTCCCTCTTTGTTTTGAAGTTTTGCTATAACTTAGATTGTATTTTTTTTTTAATTATTCATATTCATATTATTATTATCATCATATTAATTTTTCATGTTGGTAAATTTACTTCTTTTTCATTGGTTCATATTTGCGTGTTTTTGAAATTCTCTTTTGTTTTGTTGAACTGTTTGAACCAATGAAATGAACCATTTAAATTTTTTCTTCTTTGTATTTGTGATAAAACTGATTTGTTTGTTGTTTTTCATTGGTTCATTTGCTTGTTTTTGAAATTCTCTTTGTTTTGAATTGTTTTGTGTGTCGTACCATTTAATTTTCTTTTCAACTTTGTATTTGTGATAAAACCGATTTGTTTGAGTGATGATTGTGTTCATTTTTTTTTACCAGGATACTTCACGGGGTTGATTCACTCGTCGATCACTTGAATTTGAACCATAATTACGTCCACCTCCTAGTCTATGATTATGGTTGAAGTTACGGTTTCCATTGTTATAATTCTGCCTTTGGTATCCGGAAAAGCCACCGTTAAATCCTCCTCGTCCACGGTATCCTCCTCTTCTGAAGTTATTAGCAGTTAAACCAAATGTTTCAGCATTCATTTTACGTTCTTGCCTCCAGTCTATTCTGCTGACTTTTCTATAAGACACCATATTAAAAGGTAAAAGAAAGTAACAAATAGATGAAAGTTAGCAAAATACACTGATAAGGTTAAGAATTTTGATACAAAGATTGATTAGCTTACCCTTTACTTCTTTCTAAAGCTTCACAGCTAATTTTATCGAAGAAAGATTTTGCCTTGTCATAAAATACATATTCTTCGTCTTCCTTTTTCTCATCACCATCTTTTGTAGATTTATCGTCATTATCGACAGGTTGTTGTGGTTGTTGTTGTAATTGTTGAGGTTGCTGGGATTGTTGAGGTGATTGTGTTGATCCTGTTTCTCCTTCCTTCTTTTCACTGTCCTCTAATTTAACTTTAGACAATTTGTTTTCTAATTCTTCAAATTCCTTATTTGCCTTTTCAAAGTCAAAATCATCTTCTATCTTTAGAGAGGTTGTGGGCTTTGTATTACGTTGAATGGGTCCTCGGTTATACTGAGGTCTAGGTAGCGGGGGAGCTCGTCCCATCATTGGTGGTCCTCTTTTAGGGGGTCCCATGATTTGAGGAGGTGGTGGAGGTGGTCCTTGTCTACCTCTACCACGGAAATTCATATTACGTACAGATGGAAGAAGTTCTGGTCCAGGAATCATTGGTCTTCGGCCATACTGTGGAGGACCTTGTCGTCGATCACCCCCCATAACGCCACTAACTCGATAACCATCCCTGTAATTTTGATGGTTTCTCGGATCTCTGTTTTGTAAATGGTTTTTAGAAGCTTTATCATCACGATTGTTTTGAACCTTGGGTGGAACCGAATCTGATACAGGACTACGTCTATGGCCACCAGTAGGTGATGAGTTACCTGATCGGAAACCCATAGATGTTGTAGCCCCACCGAAAGCTGGTACAGCAGGTGGACCACTAGTTACACTGCTTTGACTTCCAGCGGCAGCACTGGTAAATACTGGCATATTGGCGATACTACCGACTGGTCGAGATGTTGGCGGTGCAATGGCTGATGTTGAACCAACAGTGATTTGTGATGAAGGTCCATTTAAACCAGTGGAAGGTGCTCCAGTTGACAAACTAGGTTTGGTAAATGTTGTACTACTACTGGGCATTGATGATTGCTGTAGGTGGAAAATTTTGTGTGAGTGTGAAGAAAAAGGAGAAAAAAACAAAAGATTTTAATATCAACAGGTTTCATGGTTTCTAAAAAGCTAAGGCAACCAAAATTCATAATGATTATTGCTTTCTGATATTGCAAAGCCACGTTTTCATTAAATTACTCAAACTCATGAACCGGTCATGATGATTTTGGAAATAGAATGAAAAAAAAACAGCTTTTCTCAGAAATCAAAATTAAAATAGGCATTGCCAAAGTAAAGGCTTAAGATTTTTTTCTTCTAATCTCAACTTACAGCTTGGATTATAGCTGGATCACCCAATGCTTGAGTAATACTTGCTGGGGGAGGATCATCGACAATAAGATCTTTAATGTCATTAGCTCTAAATATGATGTATTCAAATATTTCTTCACGTGGAGCTATATATTTATCTACTGGACGATTCTCGGTACCAAAAGATCGAACTGCAAGAAAAAATAATGTAAGAAAAGTGATTAGTTACATCATGACAACAAAATGAACATGAAAACAAAAAAAAGGAAAGAATGAAAAATAATATAGAATAAACGAGAGAAACATAAGAGAGCGTGAGAGAAAAGTACTATGAGCAAAAGGAAAAGAGGATGATGATGATGAAGATGATCAAATGTGCATACCTTGTGCAAGAGCAATGGTTGATTCACGGGTGTCAATGGTATATAATACTCCTTCATAGCGAATTTCAGATTTACTAATTAAACTGATTTTAGAACCAATGTAAGGTGTTGCCATTTTGAAACTTTTAGATATTCGAAACCGGCTTGGAAACACTTCTCTGCAAAACAAAAGGTGCAAACAGTTAATACAAGAAAAATATGAAAAAGAATGATGTGCACAAAGAGGGAGAGAGAAAGAGAGAAGAAAAAAGAGAGAAAAGAGAATAGGAAAATAGAGAAAAAAAGAGAATAGAAAGGGGAAAAAGAGAATAAGATAGAGATGGAGAGACAATGAAAAAAAAGATGGAAACCTTTGAGATTTTGGTAAATTGTCTTTGGAGAGAAAAAAATAAGTGTAACAGGGAGACCAATTATATCACCTTCTTTTTTTTAAAATAGAGATGAAGCAACAATGATGAATTTGATGTCAATTGATTACAAGTGCTGATAACCAATTAACATAAACAGGTAATTAAGAATTTAACCAAGAACACAATAAAATAGTCCTTTATTTTATATTTCCAAGGGATTTTCAACACCGATGAATAGAAACACCAATAGTTTAAGCGAGCAAAAGACACTGACTGGTAACAGTGAGTGCGAAAGAGAATTGAAAGAAAGAGAGAAAAGAAAGGGGAGAAACAGAGAGAGAAAGAGATTGAATAAAGAAAATCAGTAAGAGAGAGAGAGAGAAACAAATGTAAATTATATAATTTGGAGAGAGAGAGAGGAGGAAGAAAAGGACAGAAAGATGAAAGTTGAAAACAGATAAAATTCTAATAATAATTAAAAGAATTGATTAGATCCTTTAAATACCTGGAGATGAGAAAACAAGATGACCACAAGGTAAGGGAAAAGAAAGAGATGATCGACAGAAAAGAGAGAGAAAGATAAAGAAAGAGAAAGAGAGAGAGAGAAGAGAAGAAAAAAAATACACACTCAGTAAGTAGAAAAAGAGAGAAGAAGATAATCACCAAGAAGACACAGACATCGAAAGAGAAGAAAGAAAAACCGAAAGAGAGAGAAAGAAAAAAAAATGAAGGAAGAGAAAAAAGAAAGAAAAATGTTAACCAAGAAACCGAAAAAGAGACAAATGCAGACAGAGAAGAAGAAAGAGAGAGACCGATGATGATGACAAGAGAAAAAAAGAAAATGGGGGAAGACAAAGATAAAAGAAAAAGGGAAAACTATGAATTCATTTCCCTCTTTTACTTTTCTCTTTCTTTTTATCTTCTTCATTCGATCAATTGTTTCCCCTTACGAAACTCAATCGATTTTCACCTAATCGATTGATTTTCCTTCTCTTTCTTTTTACATTCTGTCTTTTTCTCTTTCTAATTGATCGATAGAAATACGACCCAAATCGATTTTCCCATTTTTCGAACAATCGAACTAAAATCGATCCATCGAAGTGATCAGCTCATTTTAGATTTTTGGTTCTCTCTCATCTTATTTATCGGGCGATTGCCTTTCTGTGTGTTTGTGTCTCTCTCTCTCATTTATTTTCTGTTTTCTTTAATAATATTAGTTTTTCTTTTCATCTCTGGTGTTTATTACAATCAATTGGAGAAAACCTTGGCAAATTCTACACAAAATAATCAACTTTGTGACTCTGTTGTTGATTAAATTCTTAATTACCTGTTATTGTCTATTTGACTATTTTTTACCATTTGTAACCAATTGACATCAAGTTCATCATTTAAATTTGTTGCTTCTATCAATTGATGTGTTGTAATAATTACAGCATTTTTTTCTGTGTTACTGGTTTTTTTAATTTATCTTCTTCTTCTTCTTCTTCTTATATTCAGTTATTCTATTAAGAGAGAAAAGGGGGTGATACTGTTGTTCGTTTTTTTTTAATTTTCTTTTTTCCATTGAAAAGAGAAAAGAATTTCAAGTTCAAAAATATTCTTTTTGTAAACATTTTCATCAAATCTTCTTCTTCTTTTACATACCATCTCTCCCTGATGATTGATTGAACAAATGATTCAATCAATGTCCGGACCTAATCTTTGCTCACATGAAGTTGATGCAATTCCGACACCTGAAGAATTTGTCAACCGATTTGATGGGTTAAAGGTTATTAACAAAGTTTTAATCGCCAACAATGGTATTGCCGCTGTTAAATGTATGCGATCAATTCGTCGTTGGTCGTATGAAATTTTTCGCAATGAAAGAGCAATTCGATTCATCGTCATGGTATTTATTACTTTTTTTCTTTTCTTCTTACTATTATATTAATCATTTTCTCTCTTTTAATATTCTTTTATTTTATTATCATATTCTCTTTATAATAATCTCTTAGGTGACACCAGAAGATCTTAAAGCCAATGCTGAATATATTAAAATGGCTGATCACTATGTGCCTGTCCCAGGAGGACCAAACAATAACAACTATGCTAACGTTGATTTGATTGTTGATATCGCTAAACGAACTAAAGCTCAAGTAAGTAGTTAATTGTTTTTCTTTCTTTTTTCTTCTTCTTCAATTCGAGATCAAATACATTAGCATTTTAGTTTAAGGCTATTTTAATTAGAAAAGATCTTCTGACTTTAATGACCTGATTTGATATCTTTTTTTAAAGGTAAAAAAGTAAAAGTTAACAAAGTAGATTAGCAACAAAGTGTAAAACAATTTAAGTTAGTTTAAAGTTCACACAAATTTTTCGAAATATCTTCCAGTGATGTAGATAGAAATCATTATCATTTAACTGTAATTTCTTTTACTTTCGAGCCATCACGAAGCTAATATAATATTTTAATAATAATGAACAACCAAAAGTTCACTAAGTAAGCACCGAGAAATTACTTAATAATGAAGAAAGAAAAAAAATTTCAAACCAGGGCAATAATTAGGAATTTCCAGAGAAAAACATTAAATTTGTAAATTCTTCTCAAATATCGTATCTCTAATGTTGATATTATTTTCCTCATTTTCAGGGTGTATGGGCCGGTTGGGGACACGCCAGTGAGAATCCCAAATTACCCGAACTATTGACCAAAGCTGGAATCGCGTTCATGGGTCCACCTCATAACGCTATGTGGGCCTTAGGTAAATAACGATAATAATAATAATGATAATGATATTTATCTACGTTATCCTGACTATTATTAACCTTTTCTCTACGAGGAAGAGGGTATGATAAAATTCTACTACCACGTCGTCATCATCTCTTTAAACACTCTATTCTAATGTTGTTGCAAGAAAACATGTTTAGATATTTGATTTTATTTCAGTCAAATATCAAATGATTAACTTGCCATTAGCAAGACATTTCATTTGTCTTGTAACTTCCTTTACCGAATTTTGTTGTTTTCTTCACTTTCTCTTTTAATATTTTCTCTCTCTCTTTATGAAAACATTTTTTTGTTAATCCATTCATGAAAAATTTTATCAAAAAGTATTAATTGTCTACAATTTCCTCGTATCATTAATATCTATTATTACAGGAGACAAGATTGCTTCCTCAATTGTTGCTCAAACAGCGAAGGTGCCTACTCTTTCCTGGAGTGGAAGTGGCCTTGTAGCTTCTAATTACGTCGAGGGTAAACCTATCAAGATATCAGCAGATCTTTATCGTAAAGGTGAGCATTTTCATCATCACCGATGATGATGATGAAATGATGTACGTAGACCATTTTTCATTTTAAGTTGGTTTTCTTTCACTCTCTCTCTCTTTCTTTATCTACCTGTCAAAATGTATCTGATAAAATAATCTTACATCAATTATTTGTCAACATAATGTTAACACTAATTTTGGCTTTTCCTTATGAATGAAACAAAACTTTTGTTCTGTTTAATTTGGTTATTTGTTTGCTTTTTTTTTCATATGCTAATTCTCATTTTACAATTTTGATTGTATCTTTTTTACTCTACTATGAAGGTTGTGTTACGGATGAAGATGAAGGTCTTGAGGCAGCTTATAAAATAGGTTTTCCGGTTATGATAAAGGCATCTGAAGGAGGTGGAGGTAAAGGTATTCGTAAATGCGAAGCAGCCGATGAATTCCCGATTAAATTTCGTCAAGTACAGAACGAAGTTCCTGGATCACCTATTTTCATCATGAAATTAGCAACTTGTGCAAGACATTTAGAGGTCAGAAGTCAAAACTTTCTCCATTTTTTTCATTATCTTCTCACCTTGATCCTGTTTACCTTATTTACATTCCTCTTTCTCACTCACGTCTTTTACTCTCCTGGTTCCTTTTTTTTCACTATCCTTCTAAAATCATCAGGAAATATCATTTATTATTTTTTACTTGACTGACTTGTTTCTATTTTTCTTTTTAACGATAAACCAACAGGTTCAACTCCTTGCCGATCAATACGGTAATGCAATATCACTTTTTGGTAGAGATTGTTCAATTCAACGTCGACATCAGAAAATTATTGAAGAAGCGCCATGTGTAATAGCTATAGAGGAAACTTTCGCTGAAATGGAAGATGCTGCCGTTAGGTTAGCTAAGATGGTCGGTTATGAGTCGGCAGGAACAGTTGAATATCTTTATGATCCAGCAGAGAAAAAGTTTTATTTTCTTGAACTGAATCCTCGTCTTCAGGTTGAACATCCATGTAGTGAAATGGTTTCAGATGTTAACCTACCTGCTTGTCAATTACAAATAGCCATGGGTCTTCCTTTGTACAGAATTAAAGATATACGTTTATTGTATGGTGAATCTCCCCTCAACGATAAGCCGATTGACTTTAGGTTTGGACGTGCTTACCCTCGGGGACATGTTATTGCAGCTCGAATAACATCAGAAAATCCTGATGAAGGTTTTAAACCATCAAGTGGAACCGTTCAGGAGCTCAATTTTAGGAGTAACAAAAACGTTTGGGGATATTTTAGTGTTAGTGCTTCGGGTGGTTTACATGAATACGCTGATTCTCAATTTGGTCATTGTTTCTCTTGGGGAGAAGATCGTGAAGAAGCAAGAGAAAATCTTGTCATTGCATTAAAAGAATTATCAATTCGTGGTGATTTTCGTACAACCGTTGAATATTTAATTACACTTTTAGAAACTGAAGCTTTCCAAAGAAATGAAATTGATACTGGTTGGTTGGATAAATTAATTTCTGAACGTGTTCAAAGTGATAAACCTAAAACGACAATTGCACTTATCTGTGGTTCCATTCATGTTGCTGATACTAAATTTTCTGCTAATTGGCAAAATTTTGAATCTTCCCTTCAAAAAGGACAAATTCCCCATTCAAATACCTTGAACAATTTTGTTAGTGTTGAACTTATCTATGAAAATGTTAAATATCTGGTTAATGTTGCTAAAAGTGGTCCAAACAGTTATTTTCTGGTTCTCAATGATTCATTTAAAGAAGTTGAGTTTCATCAAATGTCCGATTCCGGTTTATTACTTTCAGTTGATGGTTCATCTCATGTTACCTACATGAAGGAAGAAATTGACCAATATCGAGTTATTGTTGCCAATCAAACTTGTGTCTTCTCAAAAGAAAATGATCCAACCATTTTACGTTCTCCATCACCAGGTAAATTGCAACAATTTCTGGTTGAAGATGGTTCACACGTAAGCTCAGGTCAACCGTATGCAGAAATTGAGGTCATGAAAATGATTATGACACTTACAACCCAAGAAAGTGGAATCATCCGACATGCTAAACGATTTGGTGCCGTATTGGAAGCCGGTTGTATACTGGCTCGACTTGATCTTGATGATCCAACAAAAGTACGTCGAGCTGAATTATATACTGAAGGATGGCCAGAATTAGCATTTAGAGATACTGGTGGTAAAGTAGCTACCGAAGCTGATTCACATCACCCACAGAAATTAAATGTTATCTTTTCCTCTGTTAAATCTCATCTGGAAAATTATTTGGCTGGTTATGTTTTACCTGAACCCTTTTTCACCAATAAGATGCAAGAAAATGTTACTCTTTTCATGAAATGTCTTAAAGATCCTCAACTACCATTATTGGAACTTCAAGATATCATCTCATCTAAAAGTGGTCGGATTCCACCAACAGTCGAAAGCTCAATTAAAAAATTAATGCAAAAATATGGTAAAAATATCACTGCCGTTTTACAAATATTTCCCTCCCAAGAAATTGCCTTAGTTATTGATAGTTATGCAGCTACCTTGGAAAAACGAAGTGACCGTGACGTTTTCTTCCTAAATACTCAAGGAATTGTGCAATTAGTCCAACGTTATCGTAACGGTATTCGTGGTCGTCTACGAAGCTGTGTTCAAGATTTATTAAAAAATTATATCGACGTTGAGCAACATTTTCAAGCCGGTGATTACGATAAGTGTGTTTCTACCCTACGGGATAAGTATGTCGACGAAGGGATGAGCAAAGCGGTGGCAAACATTTTCTCCCACTTGAGTGTAGCAAAAAAGAATCAATTAATCATCAAATTAATCGATCATCTTGCTAGACAAGAACCAGGATTAACTGAAGAGCTGAGTAATATCCTCAATGCACTCACAGCTTTAAATAGAAGTGAAAACGTTAAAGTAGCTTTAAGAGCACGACAGGTATGCACGTGAATTGATTATCATTATCATGTTTCTCTTGTCATCACCATATGAACATATGATAATCATGTTACAATTAATCTGATTTTCCTTTCCTAATCTAATCTATTTTATGAATAATTTTTCTTTTTCTGATTTCTCAGGTTCTTATTACTGCTCATCAACCACCTTATGCTCTTCGATTTAGTCAAATGGAGGCGATGTTTCTCTCGGTTATCGACATGTACTCACATGAATTTGACGCCAACAATATGAACAAATTAATTATTTCGGAAACTTCAATTTTTGATGTTCTTCATCAATTCTTTTATCATTCCAATATTGTTGTCAGAAAGGCTTCCCTTGAAGTTTATGTTCGCCGGGCGTATATTTGCTATGAAATGGTTGCCTTACAGCATCTTTTCATTCGTAACTGTTCAAAGGGTTTATCTACACAAACCGAATTAGCTAATTGTTACACAGAAAATAATGATTCCGTTATACCAACAGCAGTTTTCCACTTTATACTTCCTTCATCACATCCATCGATTTCATCTCAACCACTTGCAGCTACCGTTGAGGCTTATTCAAATTCATATGAGGAATCATCTAATGGACAATTACATTCCAATTACAGAATTGGTGTGATAGCTGCTTTCAAAAATCTAGAACACGTTGAGGTATAAAACTATTGATTGATTGTTTACTTTAGACTTTGGATTCTTTTTTGCTTATTTCTAATTCAATTTTTATTTAAACAGGAACATTTTGACAGCTTACTCAATGCTTGTACAGAATATGAGAATGATTTATCAGATGAATCTTCATCTCCCACCAATGATGTATCTTCAAGTGATATGAATGGTTTCAATGGTTAGTTAATTCAAGTTAATTACACTATTATCTGTTTTCTGTTTCTTGTTCTACCTTGATGAACATAAAACTTTCACTGTTAATCTAATTATTTCATTCTTAATTCATATCAATTGTCAATCTCAGGTTCAGATAAAATTAAGACTAATGATGATAATGACGATGAATCTAAAGCTGAACCAATTCACATTATCAATATTGCCATCAAACCTGAAGGTGCTGATGATGAAAACTTGTCCAAAAAGTGTGAAAGTTTTTGTCAAACTAGAGTAAGTTTAAAATTCATTCATCCAATTTTAGATTGTCATTCTATTCTTATCACTAATCATTAATTGCAACTTCCTTATCTACTTTCTATTATTATTAAATCTAAATAGAGTAAACAACTGATTGAACGAGGAGTCCGTCGAGTTACCTTTATTGTTTGCAGTCTTTATTGTTTCCCTCGATACTTTACCTACAGACAACGCGATGGTTTCGTTGAAGATCGTATTTATCGTCACCTCGAACCTGCACTTGCCTTCCAATTAGAAATTAATCGATTAAGGTAAATTATTGTTAATCCAATTAACGTTAAAATTGCAATTATTTCAGGCTATTAATAATTTTGTTCTTCTCTTTTTCCCCAATTTACCAATAAATTGATAGGAATTATGATTTAGAAGCGATTCCAACTGCCAATCAAAGAATGCATTTATATCTTGGCAAAGCAAAATCAATTCATACAAAACAATTATCAGATTACAGGTAATCATCATCAGTTATTTGATCCTTCTTCATGGAAAAATAGATTTATTTCTCTCATTCAAATAATCTTTAACTTTTTTTTATCTTTTTTTTCCTTACCAGATTCTTTATTCGAACGATCATCCGACATTCAGATTTAATCACTAAAGAGGCTAGTTATGAGTTCTTACAAAACGAAGGGGAAAGATTTTTACTCGAAGCCTTAGATGAACTTGAAGTTGCATTCACTCATCCTTCTGCCAAGCAAACTGATTGTAATCATATATTTTTGAATTTTGTACCTAAAGTCACAATGGATCCATTGAGAATCGCCGAGAATGTTAAAAATACTGTTAAAAATTATGCCTCTCGATTGAGAAAACTTCGAGTTCTTCAAGCTGAACTACGAATGAGAATACGAATGACCACCAATGGTAAATGTACACCTTTCCGATTATACGTCTCATATGAATCGGGTTACTCATTAGCTATTCATCTTTACAAGGAGACTCGTGATCCAACCTCAGGTTTAACTAAATTTGAGGCTTGGGGTGCACCTTATTACGAACCAGGACCTTTAAACGATCACGCAATTTCAACACCATATCGAACGAAAGATTATCTCCAATCGAAACGTTTTCTAGCTCAAAGTAATGGGACTACTTACATTTACGATTTTCCGGTAATGTTTCAAACTGCCCTCACTCAAATTTGGAGGGAATACTTAAAATCTAAAGAAGATTATGAAGTTGAAATTCCTCGAAATGTAATTTCTTATGTTGAACTAGTTGTCGACTTTGCTACTGAAAAAGTTTCAGAGGTTAAACGTCAACCCGGTGAAAATGAGTGCGGTATGGTTGCTTGGCGATTTACCATTTATACACCTGAATATCCTGAAGGTCGTGATATTATTGTGATTGGAAATGATATTACTCATCAATTGGGTATTTTTGGTCCACAAGAAGATATTGTTTTCAATTTGGCCTCAGTTCGAGCTCGTGAATTGGGTATACCTCGAATTTATATCTCAGCTAATAGTGGTGCTAAAATTGGTCTTGCTGAAGAAGTTAAATCAATTTTCCAAATTTGTTGGATCGACAATAATATACCAGATAAAGGTTTTCATTATCTCTATTTAAGTCCAGAAAATTACAAGAAAGTTGAAAAATCAGTAAATGCTGAATTAATTGAAGATGAAGGTGAACAGAGATACAAAATTTTGGACATTGTTGGTAAAGAATCGGGCCTTGGTGTTGAGAATTTAAAATATGCCGGTTTAATTGCTGGAGAAACATCCAGGGCATATCAAGATGTCATAACAATTACCATGGTTAGTTGGATTAACTTTTCCATTACTTTTGAATTCTATTGAAAATTATCATTAACTGTATACAAATGAGATTAATTTGATTTTATCTTTTTTTTTCATAGGTAACATGTCGTGCAATTGGAATTGGTTCTTATTTAGCTCGTCTATCTCAACGTATTGTTCAGCTTGAAAGCTCACACATTATTTTAACTGGACATGCATCGTTGAATAAAGTTCTGGGTACTGAGGTTTATTCATCAAACAATCAATTAGGAGGAACACAAATTATGTTTGCCAATGGAGTTAGTCATGCCAAAGCAAAAGATGATTTAGAAGCGATTCTTGTGATACTTGATTGGCTTTCTTATGCTCCTAAAAGACGAGAGAAACCACCACAACTACCAATTCTGTTTAAAGCAAAACCCTCACCATTACCAATAATGGAACCAATTGATATAATTGATCGGGATGTTGTCTACTGTCCGACAAGTTCACCATATGATCCAAGATGGATTCTCAATGGACGCGAATCTCAGCAAGGTGTTTGGGAAGAGGGTTTCTTTGATAAAGGTACATTCCATGAAATAATGGCCGGATGGGCTAAAACTGTTGTCTGTGGACGTGCTCGCCTTGGGGGTATACCTCTTGGTGTTGTCTCTGTTGAAACCAGGAAAACGGAAGTTATCATTCCAGCTGATCCAGCAAATCCAACATCCGAAACTAAAGTGCTCTCCCAAGCGGGTCAAGTCTGGTTTCCCGATAGTGCATTTAAAACTGCTCAATGTATCAATGATTTTAATCGTGAAGGTTTACCTTTAATGATTTTTGCCAATTGGAGAGGTTTCTCAGGTGGAATGAAAGATATGTACGATCAGGTAAGTTTATTTTCTTTTTTCCGGTTAATCAGTTGATTTACTTTGCGCTTTTCATTAACAAAAAAAACTAGAATAATTAATTAATCATATCTTTCAATGTTTTCCTTTTTTAGATTCTAAAATTTGGTGCTCAAATTGTCGATGCTCTTGTAGCCTACACTCAGCCGATTATTGTTTATATTCCTCCATACGCCGAACTACGTGGTGGTGCTTGGGCTGTTGTTGATACAACAATTAACGCACGTCACATGGAAATGTATGCTGATCCTGATAGTAGGGGTGGTGTTATTGAACCAGAAGGTTCAGTTGAGATTAGGTTTAGGATTAAGGATCAGATCAAAGCGATGCACAGAAATGACATTATCTGCAAAAAGATGATCGCTGAAATTAATAAAGCAACTGATGCTTCGGTGAAGAAAAAACTTGAAAGACAATTAAATGACCGTGAACAGCAAATCAAGGGTAAGAATCAATTAATCAATAATTGACAATTAACTAATTGTTTCACTTGCATATCTTCAGGTGCTTATCATATTGTTGCAACATATTTTGCTGATTTACATGATAAACCATATAACATGTTGATGAGAAAAGCAATCAGAGGAATCATCCCATGGCATAGAGCACGTTATTACTTCTATTGGAGATTAAGGTAATTAATTAATTTAATCGATTAATTGATGGTTCATTTAATTTTCTAATTGTTAAATTTTTTTTTCTCTCTCTCTCTCTCAATATTTGTAGACGTCTTTCTGTTGAAGAAATTTTAAAATGTGAATTGGAATCAATTGATGTAACCATGACCATCGAGCAGATTACTGAATTAATGGAGCAATGGTTCTATGCTGATCAAAAGAATACAAAAGTAATTGAAACAATTAAACACTTGTTTTAATAGAAATTTAATCAACCTGTTTCCTTCTTTTTCTAATAGACTCAACTTTGGAATGATGATAAATTTGTAGCTGAATGGCTGCAAATGCAAATCGATGATCCATCTTCCCTTGTCAACGAGAAACTCAAAGAGCTACGTCTCAATCAATTTTCCCTTGTAATTGAAAGGTAACACTGATAAGGTTATATTTTTACACTTTTTTACAAATTGATTGTAATGATTTACTAATTGTTTTGTTATTGTTTTATTTTCTCTCTTTCTGTTTACAGTGTTTGCGAAAAATTTTTACCCAAAGGTTTAAATTTCGATGATACTAAAAAAGTTGCTAATTGTTTGAAAACGTTAACGGATCAATTTAGCTCAAAAGCCGGTCTTAATTGCAATAATATCAACAATCAACTTGTTGAAGGGGATAATAGCACAATTAAAACTGATTCACCTAAAAATGAATCAACAAGCAATGGTGTTGGTGGGGATGACTCGTCAAAGTAACAATTAACTCTATTGTTATCACAATTATTTTTTAGCTCAATCTTTTTTTTGTTTCTTTATATTAATTATTATTAATATTATTATCATAGTAAATATTATTATTATTATTATTATTATTACAATTAAGAGTTATAATGTAAAATAGTAATAACAACAACAACAATCAGCTGATGATTATCATTACAACTTAAATATAAGGAAACTAAATGAAAACAAAACGGGAAACAATATTATCAGCAATTAATAATTGGTATTTGCTGTATATGATATATTGATCATTTTACTCAATCAATGGTTAATCATTTTTATATACATTTGTGGGAAAAAGATTAACATTTAATTGTTAATCTCTAATCTAATTTAATAGCAACCATTTTCCAAGGCAAATCAATCTACACACAATTAGTACAATTTATTTTTCCATTCAAATTTATAACTGTCTGTTTTTTGTTACAATTACATTATCATTTGGAATATATTTAAGTGCCTTAACAACAATTAAAAGTTAACCATGACTTTGATTACATGGTGAAAACATGGAAACAGTTGATTAAAAATAAACTAAATTAAATTAAAAGTTAATCGTATCAATTTGATTGATTTTTTTTACTTCAAAAAAAAAGTGGAAAAAAAATTAAACGAAACATTTACAACAATTGATTGTATGATCATAAATATTAAAGATAATCTGGTAACAATTAATCACTTTAATTTCTTAAAATGATTAATCACAATGGTTAACACGCGTTAATCAACATGATCACTTATTAATTAACTTACGATGATCATACGATTTGTTTAATTGTCTCAATTGAATTAACATCTTCTGATGTTGGGATATTCAAGTGGTGTGATTTAAATTGACGATAATCAGTGATATTAATTGTTAGCTCAATAATTTCTGTAAATAACTGTAACAAAAATGATCAATAATCGCAATTAAATTGTTTCAATTGTTAATCGATTCTAAATCCAATTTGATGAATTTCATTTTTTCGCTGTTAGAATAACACTTTTGGTCTATTTTCACGAAGATTCGTGAAAATAACTGTTTGTTTTGAATTTTCGTTGATAGTAAATCGTTGTGATTAGCCCAATGTCTTTCAAATGATTAGTTAATTTAATTGTTTCATTTAGAATATAAAATTTATTTAATAAATTCCACTCAAAATGATTCAATTCGCTACTAGAAGTAAATTGATTCTGTCTAATTTAACCTCTTTTGATTGCATTCCATTTCTATCAATTGTATCATCATCATTACGATATCAAAGGACATCTTTATTATCATCAAATATGTCTGATTGTTGCCATTATTCAAGTAAATCATGTTTGTCATCAGATTATTTTTTAGACAAGGTATTTATCAATGGCAAATGGGTTGACTCTTCAAGTGGAAAGAAATTTAAAGTAACCAATCCAGCAACCGAGGAGATAATTGGATACGCACCAGAATGTTCAGAGAAAGACACAATTTCGGCCATAGATGCTGCTTCTAGTGCTTTCCATGAATGGAAAAACACCTCGGCCAAGGTGCGATCAACCCTGTTGAGAAAATTGTTTGAGCTTCAAATGAAGAACGGTAACCAGTTAGCAGAATTGATTAGTCTGGAGATGGGTAAACCTTTACGCGAATCTAAAGGTGAAATAAATTATGGAGCTTCGTTTTTCGAGTGGTTCGCCGAAGAGGCGAAAAGAATTTCCGGTGAAATGTTTCAAAGTCCATTCCCAAATTCGTTGACACTTTTTATTCGAGAACCAATTGGACCAGTTGGTATAATAACACCAGTAAGTCGAGACAACTGATTCGTAGGAAAATAATCAATTGAACAAAATTCTGTTGGTCAAACAAAACTGGACCAATGATAACAACTCATCTTAATAACCTTTGTTTCCCAAATCTTAGTTTCTCCTCTTCTTGACTCTTATAAAGGTTATAAGAAATAGACAAAAAGAGAGAGAGAGAGAGAGAGAGAAGGTAAAAGATTCAAAATCAACACTAATCCTCTTACATTTAGAACTCATAGTCAACCCTTAGGCGATAACTTTGTCGAGAGAAGCAAACAAAATGTAAAAATTCATCACCATAAATATGGATAATAACTGGAAAGAAACTGAAGATCGAAGCCCAAAATCAGCAACCAATTAGTGGGAAAAGTATGATGGATCAACTAATTTAATCCAAGACAAAAAAAAACTAGATTAGTTTCCAAGGATAATCAACCAGTTTAAATCTTCCAATCGAACACCTTTAAAACCGTCAACTAGATTTGTTGATCTTTTCTTGCTCTTGTGAACAAGCAACAAATTAACATTAACATGTTGACGATTCGATGTTAAAAAAAGTTTCTCCAATAATTATAATCTCATCCTCCTTTAACCCTGTTGCTGAGATTTTGGTGAGAACCAGAAAACCAACACTAACCCACTCACATTCACACACTCAACCCTTTAGGGTAAAAGGCCATAAAAATGATTCAATTAACTATGATTGTTAAATTGAAGGTAAACCGCTGAGTCCAAGATAATTGTGATGATGGTTGTGGTTGTTGACAATCGAGTTATCATAAAAGTGTCAAAGTTAAATACAAATAATTTCCAATTGATTGTTTACTCGTTCACGACATTTAATTAACTTTCTCTATCTGATTTTTTAATTGATCTGTTATTGATTTGATCTTTTTTCTTCTTTCATTTCTTTAATTTTTAGTGGAATTTTCCAAATGCAATGATAACCCGAAAATTGGCCGCCGTTCTTGCCTGTGGGTGTACAGCGGTCATTCGTCCAGCGGAAGATTCGCCTTTCTCTGGTTTAGCATTGGGTAAACTTGTAGAAGAGGCCGGATTCCCGCCTGGAGTGGTAAACATTATCACCTCTTCTCGAGATGAGGCCTCGACCATTGGTTCCGTTTTAACTCAATCGCCTAAAATTGCTGCAATATCGTTCACCGGATCAACTAATGTGGGTAAACATTTATTGGCCTCTTCAGCGTCGACGGTCAAACGGGTTTGTCTTGAGCTTGGTGGAAATGCTCCTTTCATTGTTTTCGATTCAGCCGATATACCAGCCGCGGTTCAAGGCTGTATCGCGTCAAAATTTCGTAATACTGGACAAACTTGTGTCTCCGCTAATCGTATTTATGTTCAATCGAAAGTCTATCAGCCATTTATCGATGCTCTTTCCAAGGAAATGTCAAAATCCCTTGTGGTTGGTGATCCACTTGACATGGCCACAACCGTTGGACCTTTAGTAAACTCGAAGGGCTTAGATAAGGTTAAAGCTCATGTTGACGATGCACTGGCCAAAGGGGGTAAACTGATTGTCGGCGGTAAACACATTAAAGGAAACTTTTTCGAACCAACATTGATTGCCGATATTTCAGAGAGTATGAAAATTTGTTCAGAGGAAACATTTGGACCATTGGCTGCTATCGTTCCCTTTGAAACAGAGCAAGAAGTCATCAGCAAGGCCAATTCATGCCGTGTCGGTTTAGCGGGTTACTTTTATTCCTCTTCTCTAGATCAAATTGTCAGAGTTTCCAGAGCCCTTCAAGTTGGAATGGTTGGTGTTAACGCTGGAATCATTTCGTGTGCCGAAGCTCCGTTCGGTGGAGTAAAAGAAAGTGGCCTTGGTCGGGAAGGATCTCACCTTGGTATCGAAGAGTTCACCAATGTTAAATACATCTGCATGGGGTCACTTAACTTGACCAATTGAAAACTAAACTTGGACTAAACTGTAAAGCAAAAAAAAAGAATCAATTCTCCAAGAAAAAATTGAAATTTCTGTAAAAAAAAATTCTGTTGTTTTCCAAATAATCAAAGTCAAGATTATCATCACTTTCTAGTGATATAAATCATTAACCTTGTTGCTTTTCACATTCAGTGAAAGTGATACATGGTAAACAGGAAAACAAAAAATGACCACCGGTCAAGTGCTTACCTTTCCAACGTTGACAAAAAAAATCAAAGGTCATAAAGATACAATTATCATTATTTTATCGATGAAAAGGTAAACCGCTGAATTAAGGATGATAATGATGATCAAGGTAAAGATGATAACTGGATGGATGATAATGACTGTTGTGGTTCCACCGGTGCCAATAAAAGTGTCACCAAAAGTAAAAAAATGATAACTTTTTTTTTCCTCTTCTCATAAAACATATTATCTGACTGGTCAGTTATAAGTGTCTTTATATTTAACACTTATCCAGATAGAATTGATAATTGTTGGATTGGTTAATTGTCTTACTCTCTCTCTCTCTCGTGTTAATTGATCACCATTGTTACTGATGGTCAAATTTGAAAGGCTTAAAGGTAAATTGATTTAAATATTTGACTTAAATTGACCATTACACAGATTTTTATGGCCCATAATTACTGTTCTTGACCATTTAAATTATCATTATTACCAATCAATTATTATTATTATTTTCTTGACCCTTAACTAGAAACTAATATTATAATAACTTTCAACTTTTTTGTTTTCCTTTTTTTTTCCCAAATGATAATTGTTATCATTATTGTTATCAATCAATTATTACTAAACAATTAACAATGTTTGTAAATTGTTAATAGCCCATAGTAATTACCATATCTCTATTATTTATGTGTTCATATAGATGGACAGTGATACCTGATAATTATAAACTGACCACTAGAAAGTGAAACTTATTAACCTGGTTGACAATTAATTTACACAATTGACAGCCAATTAAATATTTTCATTGTGATTACTGTTAATTGGATTAGTTACATTTTAATCAGTTAATTAGATGTAAAAAAAAACAAAAGTTTACCCTTTCAATTAGTTGCTGAGAAAACAAACATTTACAATTACAATTAGATAATTGTAAAAATTATCGAGTCAATTTCATTGATAATAATTAAATTGGAGACAAAGTTTTCATTTTAAATTGTATTGTGTGTGTGTGTGTGTTTCAAATACACTTAACATGTATTATTATTATGACAAATATTTACATTTACAATAATTATTGTTATTATTTGTGATATTTTTACTGGTCAAGTCCAGGGGAACGTCCTCACTGAAGGTCCAAAAATCGTGACTCGAAAGGGAGGTTAAGAGTGGAAGAGGTAGATGATGAGGTGGTTTACCTGTCAGGGATGAGGGATAAGGTGATGATTTGACTGTGAGTTCAATGGGTGAATGAGAGAGAGATGAATTTGGTGGGGACATTGATATCGACATTGTTGCTGTTCTTGATGATGAAGAGGAAGAGGAAGAAGATGAAGAAGAAGATGATGATGAGAATGATTTTGAATCTCGAAGTGATGAAAGTGATGTGGTCAACAGAGGTAAAGGTAAAGTTGTAGGTTCATTGGCTATTTGAGGGAAAGGAGTTGATTTAATATTATTATTATTATTATTTCTAGTAATTGTAGTAGATGATGATGTTGGTGTTGTTGTTGATGTCGAGGTTGAAGTTGAGGTTGATAATTGAATAGGTGAATGTGATAATGATGAATTAGGTGGGGACATTGATATTGACATAGTTGCCATTGATAAAGATGCAGTTGAAGATGATGATGATGATAACGGTTGATGTTGTTTCTTAGATGAGGAAGTTTCTTGATTCAATGATTTAGATTGTAAATTGTTATTATTATTATTGTTGTTGTTGTTGTTGTTTTGTTGGTTTTGTTGATTGTGTGATGATGATGAAGATGATGATGATTGTTTCCTTTTAGGTCGAGGTCCTCTTCTAGTACCATAGACATCAATTATCGGATATGGATTAACGGTTCCGTCTAAATTTAGTACCGGTGAGGGCTGATGTTTGTGTTTACGAAGGTGCATCTTAAGGGAGTGACAATATTTTGTCGCATAGGAACAATCCTTACATTGGAATTGATAAACACTCGAATGTGATTTAAGGTGACTATTTAACATTGATTTGTTGACACAAGTATATTTACAACCGGGAAATGAGCACAGAAAAGGTTTGGAATTGAAATGATTACGTAAATGGTATTCCAAGTGATGTTTAAACTCGGTTACGAAGGGACAATTAGGGCAGGTTAATTGTTTCTCACGTTTAATGTGAACTGGACGATGGGTCCAAAAATCGTGCTTAGATATGGCAATATATTCACATTGTTTACACTTATAACGACGAGGTCGATTTACCGATGATGATAATCGGTTGTTGTTGTTGTTGTTATTAGATGATGAGGATGAAGATGATTTTGAGTCACGAAATGATGAAAGTGTTGTGGTTAATAATGGGAGAGGTAGAGTTGTTGGTTTATTGGCGATTAATGGGAAAGGTGATGATGATTTAATTGAATCGATTGAAGGTGAACTTGAATTTGGTGGTGACATTGATATTGACATTGTTGAAGTTGTTGTTGTTGTTGTTGTCGTCGTTGTTGTAGCGTTTGTGGTTGATGATGAGGTTGATGCCGATGTTGAGGTTAACGATTGATGATCTTGTACTATTAAGGGTTTTCTTTTGGTCTTTGGACCTCGTCGATAAACATCACTCACTGGATGGTAAAGAGCAACTGAGTTCGTACTCATATTTAGATCCGGTGTAGGTGGTTTCTTATTTTTTCGCAAATTCATTCTCTTTCTTTTTTTTTGTTCGACAAAAAGAGAGAAAGAGAAAGGTAGCAAAGGAGGAGACTAAGAGGAAGATGAAGATGAAGATAAAAGGTAAGAAAGGTAAAAGAGAGAGCAAGAGAAAGAGAGAAAGATGATGATAAGGAGGAGGAAAAAATAGCAGAGGGAAGAGGTGGTGGTGGTGGTCAAGAGAAGAGAGTAAAAGGTGTACACAACTGTCCGAGATACGCACGCACACGATGAACGAATTCACTTTTTGCAATAATTTTGTTGTTGTTGTTTCGGTGAGTTAACTGTTGTTACGAACTTTTAACTTCGATATGGTTTTTGTACTTTTCTTGTAAAATGGAAAACAAAAAGTGAGAGGTAAACACACACTCGACCAGGTCAAGATCTATGAATGTACTGATGATGAAGGAATAGTGAGAGTATGAGAGAGTGAGAGAGAGAGAGAGAAACAGCCAAAAAAATCATCATTTGCCAGAGGAAAAAGGTGGAGTCTTAAAGAGATTGTAGGAGGAGAAATACATAGGAAAAGTCTATGGGCACATGAGCAAAATTGTTGATAAATCGACGAGATTTTGTTTTGTTTTTTTGTTTCGAACAAAAAAAAACAACAAATTCGATTCGAAATTCGTAATCAATTTTTTACTTTCTCTTAGGTGTAACAATTAACTGACAAATTAGATTGTAAACTCTGCAATTTAAATGGTAAATTACTTTTTCTTCAGTAGATTGAAATTGTTTGTTGTTAACATATTGCCAATTCTTGGGAGACAATTAAAAGTCAATATTTTGATTTAATTTTTTTTTCTTCGGCTCAAAATGAAGAAAAACAAAAATTTTCACAATTAACTGTTAGATTTGATTGTTTGAATTGATGATTTTTTACTCAACTAAAAAAAATTCTCATATGATTTATTTTAATTACTGTTAATTAAGTTGTTTGTGTGAATTACTGTATTAACCCTTTGGGGTTTGTTGATTTCTGTTGACTTTTTTTTGAAAAAAAAGTTGGTTGTTAATCAAATAATCAAATTACTTCTAGTAAATTATTAGTTGTTGTTTAGTTTAATTAGTCTAGTTGGTCAAAGGGTAAGATAATAAACAATTACCAGCAATTAATAATCAGTAATTTACACTGGATTGGTTGATTGTGTTGACAATTAATCAATTTGATGGGAGAAAAGTTTTCTCAATAAACAATTAACTTTTTTTTCCTTCTTAGTGTTAATTTGAAACTTATAATAATCAACTGATTACCAAGCTCACATTGATATCGGCAATCAGTTAGTAATTAATGATTAGTTGATCAATTGGAAATCTATTGGAAATCATTGAACAGGTAATTGAGAATCGAAGTGGAAATGGAAGAAAAAAAAATTAATTCTGTTCGCAAATAGAACTTTTTTTTTATTCTAATTGTATGTCAGTGATGATGACTGACCAGTGACCCTTTTCTCTTGATGATGACCAGTGGCTATCATAAAATTTGGGTATAAAAGGAGGGGTAAAGAGTGGTCAGTCAATTCTGGTAACTCTTTGATACTCAAAAGTAACGGTAATGAAAGGGAGTTGGTCAAATGAAAATCGAAAATCATTTTGATGGAGAATTAGTTTTTTTTTCTTCTCTCAATCTTGTCCATCCCATTTTCCCGTTTCTCTTCATTAATATTATCATCCTCATAATTATCATCATCTTACTCATCACTCATCATCTTTCATTAGCCTAATTGTGATCCACTTATTATTAAACATCAATAACCAATTTGAAACAACTTTCACTTTTTCAGCTTCTTCAAAGGGTCAGTGTATCATTACTGTGGCTACTTTAATGACCATTCAAGTTTTAACTGGTCAGTAAGCCTTAAGTAGACTAAAAAAGAGAGAGAGAGAGAGAGAGAGAATCATAAACAAAATATTCATTTGTAAAGAGATGGACAGTAGACTTTAACTGACCACTAAAAAGGTTAAAAACTTATCCACCCAACAATTAAATATCCTAATTACAATTCAGAAGCTCATATGATGTTTCAACCTCCGATTCTGATGCTTTTAAGTCTGATTGATTCATCTTCCTTTTCATCCCACCCTCGTCATCATCATCACCTTTTACCACGATGACCACAACCTCTTGACCGATGTTCATCTTCCCAGTGACGAAAAGATCGAGAAACAAATTAAAGAAACGCAAACAACGAAAACAAAAAAACTTTTCTTTTCTCTTCCTGTTTCCTCCATGAAATCGAAGCTTCGAAACAGACAGAACAAGAAGAAAAAAAATCGAATAGAATCTAAATAAGATCAATATAATTTTTCGAAGTCACGCAATCGGCTTCATCTCTTTCTCTCTCTCTCTCTCTCTCTCGTCATCATTTTTATCATCACATAATACCAATGGATGATGATGATAGATCCTCCTTCTTAAGGTAGGTTTGATCATGCTCTTTGCATCATCAGCATCCTCATCATCTTTTGTATCAACATCATTTTTATCAATCACCTATTTTATATACGATATAGAAAAAGAATATTTTTCTTTTCATTTTTTTTTCTTTTCTCTAATAATTTATAATGATAATTTTTGAGCACAAAAAAAACACATACAGAACTTTATCCCCACTGAGTAACCCTAATGAATATCATGGGAAGAAACTTCTGAGAAATTCATTGAATTCAAGAGAAGAAGAAAAAAAAACTTTAGGTAAACAAGAATTGTAAATATAAACACTGGAGAAAATGAAAATGTTCATGATGATTATGATTCAGTTTCAGGGTAATGTTTATATTGAAATGTTTTACATCAACAGTTAATAACAATTAGTTGAAAGGGAGAGAGGAAAGAAAGTTTCATCATGATAATATTTCAATATTCAGCATAATTGGGTTACTCTCAATGAAAAGATTTCATGTTCATGTGTAAATAGTTATTAACCATTTACACTGAATCGTTAATCTTTCATGAAAAATATTCGAGAATAAGTTTAGTTCAGTAACTGATTATCCCAAATGACTAACGATTCATTTTTAAAACGAAAAAAAGATTTCAATTCAATTTTATCTAAATTCAACATTAAGGTAGCCGAAAATTTTTGTAGAATCTTCATCATTCCAATGATATGGTCAATCTAAAACTGACCACTCAGATAGAGTGTCAATATAATCAAGCGTATCAATGGTCATTCTTATTCAATTTAAAGCTTTTCCTTTTTTCAGAACTTTTTTGTCTTCTCTTGTTGTTTTTTTGCTCCACTTGGAATACAGGTCGGTACATAAAACATTTGAACGATTTTGACGCTTAATTGCGATTAGTTGGACAATTAATTTTTAAAAATTTTTTTGATTAACTTAGAGCCTAATCATTCAGAATTTTAATGAACTTTTACTTAAATTTTGCTGATAAAAATTGCAGAAATTAAAAAAATTTTTCATATTTCAAAATTCAGTCAATTGACCTGGTACCCAAACGGACGGAGAAAATTATTGTAAATCACACAGTTCAGAGGTTAAAGTCAATTCACAAGATGTACTTTCAAAATTTCAAAATTAGGAACCAAAAAGTTATCAGTTTTAAGTGAAAACAAAAATCCATAGAATACATGTGATTTTGAAAAATTTTAATTTCTGTTTTTTCCATAGACCTAATGTTAATTTTGTAATAAAGTGAAAATCAATTTTGCACTAAAATCTTTCTAATTTCTGCAATTTTATCAGAAAATTTAATTAAAGTTTATTAAAATTCTGAATGATTGAATAAGTTAATCAAAAAATTTTAAAATTAATTTCAACTTTTCCAATTAAGCTCAAAATCGTTCAAATGTTTTATGTACCACTTGTAATGTTTTCGTGTTGATTTTGTTTCTACTTTACTCTTTTCTCCATCCTCATCCTTTTACTTATTACTGTTCATCTTCCCATTAATAGTAACCTTCCACTCTTTCTTTCTCTCTCTCTCCCTCTAACTGTCCATTTCATCTGAATCTCATCCCTTTAACACTTTGCTTGACCAGTGAAAATATCACCAAAAAAAAGGGTATCACTAAAAGGACTTAATTTACCCTTTTTTCATCATTTTTATTCCTAACCCTCTCTTCCTCTTCCTCTTCTCCCTCCCCTTGTCTTCCTCATCTCTTCTATCAGCATCATCCCTTTGGATTTTCTTCTTCATCATCTTCTTACTTTTTCTTTCTTTTCTCACTTTCTACGAGAAAGTTACTCTCTCTCTCTCTCTCTCTCTCTCTCTCTCTCTCTCTCTCTCTCTCTCAACATTCCTTTTTATTCTGTCTCATCTCATTTCTCCTCTTTTATCCCCAAGGAGTTCAGACCTTCATCTTATTTTTTTTTCTTCTCTTTCTTTTCTCATCTTCTCATCTTCTTCATTTTCATCATCATCTTTATCTTTCTTTTTTTCTGCTTTCCTCATCAAAAATGGATAACATTTTTACTTTGATCTCAAAAGCCTGATGGACATTGATCATTACTGGTCATCATCATCATCATTCCTACTGGTCAATCCTTTTCCAGTCAAGAAGAAGAAAAAAGTTTCACTATGAGAAAACAGTATGATGAAGATGAAGAGAGTGAGAGAGAGAGAAGAAGAAAGTGAGATGAAAAAAAGCTTATTGATCTCCTGAATTTCTATCATGTTAGACTTTGAGAAACCCTTTTCCTCTTCCTTATCCAATACATTTTATCCTCTTTTATTATCATCTCCATCTCCATCTCCATCTCTCTCTCTCTCCTTCTACTTTTTGGTCACTTTCATCCTCTTTTTTTGCACACCCTTTATCATCATTATCATCATTTACCTTCATCATAATACCTTTTTTCCTCCTCGAAATCTTCACCATCCAGGGAAGATGAAGATGATGAGTAAAAACCTATTCTTAGCAAGGTCAACATCATCTGCTTACTCTATAAATCTTTCTCATCTTCATCATCTTTTTCACCATCACTGTATATTTAATCTTCGAATCAACTGAAAAGATGATGAAAAATTATCATCAATCTAATTGAAACTTTTTATACGCTCATCATGATCGATTCATATCCAGCTACTTATTAAGAGTTTATTGACGATTTTCAGATAACCATAGCGATGAACAAATCTAAAGGATAAAGAGTAAAGAGATGATTGAATGAATTGAAAAAAGTTCTGCAATGATTGGACAAAAAATGGAATATTTTTTCATCATATTTGATTTGGAATTTATTAGTTTAATCAACTCACACTGGAGAAAAGAGGAAAAATGGGTTATTGCCTAAGGGTAGATGATGAATATTGATTCATTCTGATAAGATTCACTTTCATTTGACCATCAAATAGAAATACAAATAAAGATGAGTGAGTGATGAAGATTAAGATGATAAGAAAATGAAGAAGATAGAGAAGATGATGAGAAGACCAAGAGAAAAAGTCTATTCTTTCTTATTACTTTTTCTATCAGAATGTTTCATCTTCTTCAAATCTTCCTCTCTGATGATTTTCTTTCGCCATTTTCATCCATCTCTTCATCCTCCTCCTCCTCCTCTCTCTCTCTTCGGTGTGTTTATGTGTCTCATCATCATTTCCTCCCTTTACCTCTCCCCTCACAGAATTTGGGATAAAAAAATCAATAATATCATGCGAATATATAGGAAGAAAAAACTAAGAACTCAAAGGGATGAGAAACAGAAAAAGAGAGAAGATGATAAAATAGATTATTCTGTTTTTCTTGGTAAACATCATCTTCTCACCTTATCATTCTCTCTCACTCACTCACTCTCTCTCTCTCTCTCTCTTTCTCTTTCACTGTTATTATTACTTTCACCAAGAAGATGATGAAAATGGCTTAAAGTGTTACATCCATACAGAAAATCATCTTAATCATCCTCATCTTTCATCTTAATTATTAAAGTT